AGTGGATGCGAGCTAGTGAAGATCAGACTGAATGAGGTTAGACTGTGAAAGGAGCGTCCATCTAGAAATGAGCTGGAATTAAAAAGCCTTGATTTAAGATCAGCTATACAGGTGCACGTTACAAAATTTAGAGACAGAATCGATTCTCATGGTATCAAAATACTGGGACTAGTTTTTCAATCACATAAAGAAGGGCTTCTCTCTGAAGTTATGCGTATATAAACTAGGTCGAATTCAGTAAATAGTAAAGAAGGAATATTTCTGTCACCTGGCCAGCAGAATTTAATTAAACGAAACAGATAAAAGCATTTCCTTATTGTACTTCCCATCCTCTGAACAATGATAATTGTCACTTATGAGTTAAAGTGATCTCCAGACAGAAAATAACAAACTGACACAAAAATAGATACATATTTTAACAATTTAGCAGTGGCAAGTTGACAGTATTGATACAGACACATGGTGAGTGGTCACATATATTTATTTGATACAGATATTGACCAATAAGTGACCTCCGAACAGGTAGATTTTGATATATGTGCTGTCCGACCACATATTTTGATACTTATCAAAATCCGAGTAGTAATTACGAAGAAGCTGTGGCCCACAAGGTGAGGCCTGATTGTCTAATCCCGCTGGAAATATTTGAAACATTTTAATATTTATTGAGTTCTACTTGCTGCTCAAATTATTACAGGAAATTCGCAATATTTGACATCTGGACATCTATAAGATTAGAAAGGCGAAATGCAGTTCTCTCAATATTCTAAAACTCGTGGCAGCTGCTGCTTTACTGCATGGTGTAATCTCTAGATCATTGCTAACAATCACTCATGCGTCTTCATGTTTGATAATCGCTGATGGATTAAAGTCACTGAATGACTGATTGCATATACTGTCATCAGTGATACACATAGCTAAACTCATTGTTGATATTGGTTTTTAAGGAAGATTGCCCAAATTATTTTACCAACCACCTTCACAGAGAGACGTTATGAGGCTCCTCAGTTAAAGAGAATTGGAGAAATGGGGCAGAATGACCTAATTATCGACAGTAGTCTGTTTACACGCTGTAGGAAGAGATGAGGCACTAACACTGTATGTCGAGGAATAACGCCCCTTTCCAACTGTCGCAGTTATAAGACCTCACTGATTCCCAGTCTGTCTTATATCTACAAGGGAGTTCTAAATGTAGTCCTTTACAGTACATTTTTTACATGGCTATTTTAGTTTACTTAAAGCCTTGAATTCGAAACCTCATCAAGAGCCTTGCTGAAGTCAGCGAATCTGATGTCAACTGTGATAACAGCTAAGTTACCACAATTTTCCGTGCTAAAAGATTTCGGTCATGCATCAATGACTTGCGCTAAAGAGGCTCTGTTCCTCTATGTACTCCAAGTACGGACCAGGGATGATTCTCTCCAGTAGTACAACAACTGTGTTGACTGGACTAGGGAGATGGCAGTACTTAACGGAATTCGTAAGTCAGTTTTTTAAGAGAAAACTGACGACATATTTTTAGTCTCTCTTAGAATTGAAACTGCTTCATGATATATTGAGTGGCGCCGACAAGGGTTCTTTGATGGTCCCAGCTTGTGCTATTTATACGTACGACAGGATTTCTTTAGGGATAGCTGTAGGGTTGTGTCTTAGACGGTATGGGATGTATAAAAGTTCCATTCATAACTAACCTTTTAAATAAGATACTAAACCTGCACTACCATTATCGGGGAACAACCAAGGGCCATGATTCGAAACTGCGAAACCCCGTTATCACTATTAAATTGAGGACAGTGAACAACTAGACTGCTGATATTATCAATAAACTAAACTTGAAAGGACCGAAGGTTAAGCTGAAGAGAACAAAAATGCGTGGCAAGGAGTCTCTAAATTCTCCAAAATTGGAAAATTTTCAAAAATATCGTCTCAGCATAACAATTACAACGAAAACACCCGAAATCAACTCAATGCGTTAGATGAGAGAACCAAATGAGCTGTCATCTGGTCTATTGCAGAATATAACAGGAATACTTGTGACATCAAAGAAATGCAGTTTTATGTGTTCAAAAGATGATCGAGGTTAGCATAGACGGAATTACGTTGTTGGTTTTAGATAATATGTTGTCCAGGCAATGTACATTGAACTAGGCATTAGCGCTCAGGAAGGTTTTGGTCGCATCGGCGGATGACTTATAGGTAGGTTTTAGTCGTTTTTCTTCGAAGTGGAGTGTAAATTATGAATTTTTAGCTGGTAAAAATAAACATTATTTTTAAAGCTTTATGTGTGACATCCATATATAAATAAGACACTGGTTACTGTTTGCACCAGCGATTGTATTAATTGAAATAGTTTGTTACATTTTGATTTTGTTGACAATGAACATGTACACTTCCCACTCGTACTGCACACTGAATTTATACTCTGCTTTGAAGGATACCCCAAGGTGTACATCCATCTCAACAGGTTTTTTGTGGTGTCGCAATTAGTTTTGAAATACAGGTTTTGAAAGCATACTCAGCGAATATACTTTCCGTTATTTGCGGAGAAACGGAAGTGAAATTCGGAATTTGTTCTCTATATTCAGTCTGCAGTGATTTTAAGGCAAGATGTGAATGTAGTTATCGGGTGACCTAGTGATAGTCCCACATCTAGTTCTGTTTGTGGTATTCACTTTCGGTTTTAAAAAAGAGAGAAGCAGTGTACTGGTAAGAATCAGAAAAAGATGCTGTCAGGCTTCCTCTGCATGTGCATGCTTTAGTAACTCCAATTAGTCGATTATTCACATAGTGGTCAACCGAGACATTCTTGAAACTAGTTACGCAAATCAAGAACAGAAGGTATTTATTTTATTTGGTTATAAAACCTGTAACTAATTGATTATCGAAGTTCATGTTGCCAGGTGACTGGTATAGTTTGTCTTAACCGATGCTAAAGCTGTTCACCCCAGTAAGTCATGTCACTGTTTCACGATTGAAAGATTATCAACAAATTCCCATTTTCTCGCTATGATGGATTTAGTCGTGTAAATATGGCTGGGCATACAATCATCCTTTTTAATCGAACCAACATTCACTAGTATGCTGTAGAAAAGTATCACAAGTGATTTTTTGCAGACAGTCAACTGAAATTTTAGTTATTCACTAAACAAAATTTTCCAAAAGAACTTTTAGAACCAATTTTCAACTCAACTTGTTAATGGCACAGGTTAGTTTCTTGTGGATTTCGACTGACTCGCTGAGCTATTTTTCAGTGTTTGCCTTTCTGCTCTCTGCTGACAATATACTCATGTGGGTAACTGGATGAATTGCATTTAATCTCATACAGCAGTTGTAAGAATCCGATGTTCAATGGCTCCACTGTGACGATGAACTTACGGTGATGATAATGATTGAATATCAGCATGTAGAAGTATATCAGTTCGAGTTACAACGATTTCAAAAGGCGCTTGAAAAGCATATAAAGACACTCTAATACTGCAGTTGACAAGGATACATGGGTCAGAGAACAATTTGGTAAAGAGAAATGAAAATAATTGGGGATTAGTCATAAGAAGGGGACGCGTCGGTGGCACAGCGGTTAGGATGCTCGCCGACCATGAACATGGTCCGGGGTTCGATCCCCGGCCGACGCGCTCCTTTATCTCGCTAAGCCAGAAATAATGCTGGTAAAGAGGAAAGGTTGGGCATGGGGCTAGCAACCCCATTCTGTAAAAATAAACACTGCTACAGAAACTTCAAGCCACTAGCTTGAAGCCCTATGTTCCACTGGGGAGCGTGAAGAAAAAACAAAAAACATAAGAAAAGGACGATTTTGTTCCATTTCATTAAGTGTCAACATTACGTACGAAGTCAGTTACCAACATCACATTGCGTTTTAGCATCGCTACCGGGCTCACCTACTACTATGACTATAAGTTTAACAGTTATTCGGAATAATCGAAAAGTTAACTTCCAGGGCTACTTCTCTCCATCGGTGGCTTTCGAAGTACAGTCACGACCACACAAACACTCGTCACAAAACCTGCCATTACTCAGAAATGATGCGGGCTAATATATCTAGTACTGGCGTAATGAGTTGAGATAAAAACAGAATCTATAATAACAGTTAACAGGGTAAGCGAAGTGTCAATGGTTTCACTGAAGAGTCATTTTTCGGCGCGGTCGACGCTCTTTCGCAACCTATTGGGGCTTGTCGACACAAATAGTGACTATGTATGCCTAACACATGTTTCAGCTACCACGTTGGGTAAAGATCCGCTTTTCCGTTGGTTGGTTTGCCTTCTTTACTGGTCACTACATTTAAGCTTGGGGACAGGTAATTGTCTGAACAAAACTAAGGGTTGTTTCGTATCATCAGTTTGTCGGAATAGGACTCCTTAGATGTGTCCAATATGTTCGAGCAAGTGCTTTAGTTTCTCTCTTTTTTTCGAAGCAAATTCAACAGCATTTGATCAAACAGTTTCTTAACTCCATTCGGGAAAATCAGTAGTTGACTAACTGGAGATTTCTAAAAGGCATCAGTAAGTATTTAGATAGTTTCTCGTCTTCATGAATCCATTTAACTGGACACCACAGAGAACTCTTCGTTGGGATTCAGTCAAACAGTGAGATTTCCATCCCAGGGCCTAATGTCACCACAGAATCTCCTGTCATCGGCACGTCCGATCACTGTGTCTAACAAATCGCTTGCTTTACTTTACCATGTAAGTGATTTCGAAGTCCAACAATCTTTTTGAACAGGATAGAGGTCGTCTCCTAATAAATGGTGTCATTTTGGGACATCTGCCTCAGTTGCTTAAACATGTGTTATGGGTGTCATCTCAGCAACTCTTTTGCCGTCCATTCTTTGCTGGTACTGTGATTGATTGAAAAGTAGAGGAATAGTTAGCCAGTGATATCACATCATGGACTAATGGATAGTTATATTGGGTCAGCAAATGATGACTCACATTATGGGGTTCTAGAGATCATGCAACTCAGTGGCACTAGATGCCATCAGAATTGAAATCAGTGGCAAATTTGCTTCAATTTCCTCTTCTATTTATGAAACTAATTTGAAGTGGAGAACGTTCATTTGAATCTCCTGGATAAATGTGCTTACATGTTCTCATTTCCCTGTTCGTCAACTATTTATTTTCTCTATTTCTTTATGCTGTGGTTCACTTCTCGGTGACTATATTGTACCAAGTTTGTGTTTTGAGTAAATGATAATAGATACCTTGTTCGCTTAAATCTGCTTATTGTTTGAAAGTATATTAGTAGACATTTAGGTTATTACAATATTACAAACTATTTATATTGTTATTAAAACAGTAGATCATCAGTATGTCAGATGTTGTTGTACGCACAAATGAAATGTCAACCTTTTGGCCTCTCTTACTGGATTACGACCGGCGCGAATGCCTACAAATCTTACGTCGGTTAGAACTTGAGGCTTACAGTAAGATTGTTGCAGTTTTGAGGGCGCAAGGACCTTTGACAGAAGAAAAGAAAAAACTGTTGTGCAAGTTGCAACGTCTGCTGAGTATATCCATTGATCGACATAAAGCAGAAGTTCGAAGAGCCCTCAATGATGAAGAGCTAGCGACTATTTCAGAAGCGTAAGTCCTCTATTTCTACTAATTCTCGTTTTTCTTTAAGTGTATGCGGAAAGGAGGTAGATGAAGAGTGGATTTTAGAAGGCAAAAGAATTTCCCCAATTTTTCAACGTCCGAGTCCTGAAACCATCTTTTTATCCCAAGCCAACAAAGCTTCATTTGAACAGCTAGTGCGTAATTCTAGATTACCACGTCCAGCTGAAACAGCACTTCCAGAAAACCTAATGAAACTGATAAAGCTTAGTGAGAAAAATGAAGTTAAGCCAGCAGTTGACAAGGTAAGACATGAGACTAGCTGGTGGTTTTTATGTTAATGTCTAAGGGAAATGTTCGTCTTTTTCATTTCTGATGATATGCTACATAAGTCGCTAGCCTTTTCCAGTTGATGGCTTTAACATATAGTGTTGTGTAGTTTGTACTCAGCACTTTATACTTATCCTACAATCGTCAACTAGTCATTTGTGGATTTTAAATGAGGTTTTTCGTCATTACTTTTCTCATTAGCATTGATGGAGGAGAAGAAATGAAGAAAAAGGAAAGATGTGTTTCGACCGTGTTTAGTGCCTACTTGTGTTTTAGATGAGAACTCAGTCTGATGGCTATAAATATCGAATTAGAAGAAATGATTAGGTTGTTTTTGAGGTTGTACACCTGGCGTCTCTTATTTATGATTAGATAGTATAATCTAGGTGAAATTTCTTAAGGTTCTGTAAACTAAGTGGTGAAATCTGTCCCCTAGAGATTGCAAATCATGCCATAGCTTTTAATGTTTGTAAGTATTCTACTTCGTACTTGTTATACAGTGTGATAAGTTGTTTAATGTAGTGAAGGTAGTGATACTCGCGCTGAGCACCTTGATCACTTTAGTTGGCTTATTTTCATTTATTCCTCTTAGTTGTTGAAGTTTATTGAAATAGAAACTTGTGTGTATAAACCTAAGTACTCTGGTAAATTCAGTTATGGGGAATATGTAAAGAGCTAAACAAGAGCTGAATACTTGAAGATGGGAAGTGAGAAATTTACAGGGAATTTCGTCTACTGTTCTCTAGATGAATATAAGAAAGTCTGGGAGAATCATTAGCACGACAAAAGATCTACTCAGGGAATAAAGGTCCTGAACACTTTTGTGTGCTTCCAGGTAATCAAGGCACTTAACGTAAGATTTTGTGTATAAACCACGATACATTTTCCTAATTTATCTTCGGTTGTAGTAGCCAAGTGAGTAGTGATGCGTTTCTAATTAATTGGATGTATTCGTAGTTGCTAAAGTATTCAAGGTTGTACATTCAACCGCAGGCATGAGTCTTTACTTATCTAGGCGGGTTATTATATGTTTGTGAACCCTTATTAGTTCAGAGTATTGTACAGTTAAACAACTGTTAATGAGCTGCATTACGCTTTAATAGTTTTTGTTAAACAGAGTGTAATACGTACGCATGGGCTGCAGCACTTGAAGTGTCTGCTAATTCTTTATGATGGACACTATTTTAGAAATGCTTTAAAATCTCTTATTCTCTAGTTTTGTTTTGCATTGTTTGTAGAAAATGTTTGATTTTTCATTCCTACTGTGCATAGCTCATATGTGAATATATTTTAAATTCCACTTTATACTGATGACTACCTATTTAGAAATCTACTCCAGTAACAAATGAGTCTGTAATAGAAGTTTTAACTGGAAAACAAAACAATTTAGTTGATCTAATACCCTGCCGGAATGATTGTCAGGTCAAATACATAGTTCAAAAAAGGAGAACAGGGGCAGTCAGATTAGCCGAACATAAAAAATCTAGCAAAATCTAGATTAGTTGACCCAAATAGGATAAGAAATCTGGGGAATAGTTCAGCTATAGCACTCACTACATGCTATTACACATAACCATACAATAGGATAGGATAGGATGGCAATTTTAAAATCTAATGTCACAGGGTGGAGGGAGAGATTGATAACAGAAGCTTTGTTTATCGAATCAACTGCAAATACGTATAATAGGAATGATTCAACATCTGTCCCAGATACCTGGAAAATTCTACTACTCCTGTGACAAACAAGAGAGAGCTCAGAAAACTATAAAACTCAAGTTTCAAAGTCGTGTGATTACAGTTGATATGGTTATGAACAATAGATTTTCTTCTAAACGTCATCCAGTATACCATACTGTTTCACTGTGTGATACATTTAATAAACCAACTAATATGGTAAGCAAGGAATAGTGGTTAATGTGAGTGGTACTCAACTACTCATATGAGCCGATAAACCATTAAGATAAATTCAGGGTATTTTTAAAACGAGAGTAATCGGATATTGTAGAATGAATTGAATTCAGTTGCATTTTGTGTCCTCTCAATCTTCCACAAATACGCTAAATTGAAAATGTATTTGCAGTTTAATAATTCTGCCTTCATTAAATACGGAATTAATAGTAATCTTTAACACAAAGAACATGCTTAGATGAAAAAAAAATCTGAATGTGAGAACCCCTCATGTTACCTAGAATTGCATTTATTCATTTACCTGCACTTGGAGTATCCTGTATGTGGAAATAACTGGTGGAATCCCTGCAGAATAAATTTCTGAACATGCACTAAAAAGATTGTTATTAGGCGCAGGACTGCCTAGTTGTACTGTTGGTAGACATATCCTTGTTAGGGGGTTATGTTATCAATCCCAACACAGCTTTCCGGACTGTGAATTGACAGAGTAGTGGTTGATTACTACGATAAACAGAAGCCGCAACAGCAGTTATTTTTTTTTAATTTAATTTTTTTGATTTACAGCTTGATTCCACACTGTATTTTTGGTACAAGTATGGAATTTTCAGCATGGATATCGGTAGCCCAAATTTTGCAGGCCGACCATAGATATCAGGTGTGCGCCGGCGTGGGCTCGAACCCTGGACCATGTGCATGGTCGACGAGAGTCCTAACCACTGTGCCACCGACGCACAGTGAAGATTGAAGCCTAATCTATACGGGCAGAAGAATTTTATGGTTCACCTTGCGTAGCTATGGTACTTTGTTGTTCAATCTTCTAACCATCCTTAGACATTGTTCATCTTTCTAACACTTCGCTTTCTATTATGTTTACTGTAAACCAGCCTTGTGTCTTAATCTATGCCTCACTGTTTTACCAGAATTTAACTTCCTATCATACCATATATGCCATATCTTAACTGCTCCCAACCCCTGTTACCTTGAATCTTAACTAAACGTTATTGGTCTTTTGTTAGATTATTTTGTTTTGTTTGGACCGAATTTATAGTATAATTCTTTCCCATAGATATTGTCGTGTAGACGTGGAAATACTCATTTTGTATTGAACTTGACATTAAACTAAACTATTTGCATTTGATAATGATGTGTTGAATTATTTGGGTGTACACACATTTTCAATTTATTGTTTTTGTGGAAGATTTAGAATACACGAAGTGAAATTGAGTATAATTCATCCTACAATGTTTATTGTTCTTGCTTTATAAAAAAAAGCTATGACAGAAACCAACAAGTGAAGATAAAAGTTGTTGCGAGGTATTTTCGTGCATAGTATAGCGAACAATAAATACAACAGGTATTGCAATTGTGCGAAAAAAGTTGATATAATGCCTTTAAAATAGTCAAACGTAACATCTGATACGATTACACCATTCCTCTAGGCACGTAATAAAAAACTCATATAAGATCAATTACATGTGGAAATTCCAGTCTCATTTGAACACCTCCTTTCTATCTGTTCGAGTGTTTTGGGACGAAAAGGCGGCAAGTTTGTTTTCCTCACTCGGAACTATTTGTATGAAATTTTTAAAAATCCCACCTCTCAAGAATTTTTATTCCGATAAACATATGTTACTCATAAGTAGTATAATCAATGATACTGAATGAAAACTTCGTCAGTTGTCAGGTTCATAGTCCAGTGGATTATTTCATTCTTCAAACGGAAGCTTTTACCAATCAACATATTGACGCCAAGTTTTATGTCATTTATGTAATTTTACCCAGAATGTTGACTGCTTTTGTCATTCTGTAAGTCGTCAAATAACATTTTGTTGAGTAAAAGCCTATTTGTTATTGTCTTCAATATTTTTACTTTTTGAGTTTGTCCAGCTTCTGTAAAGCTGATTAGTACTCATATCTATCTAATCAATTTATATTTACATTGATTATTTGTTCTTTATCCAGGAACATCATTACAACGTTTTAGAGCTTCACAGTCTTCAGTTATCTCTACCAGCGAAGCTTTAAGGCCATTATCCCAGGTTCACGGTTCTAAAGTAATCAGGGCTGCAATACCTGGCAGTAATGTTGGAGCAACTTACTCACCCAATCTGTATTACAGTCCTATGATCAATATTGCAACAGATGGTGTCCCAGTTAATGATCAAACAAATCGTACTTCAGTTCTTCAACAGAATGCACTAGTTCCGTCTAGTTCGGTGGTTCAATTTCCATCCTCCGGAAACAATGTTATTGTTCTACAGAAAGGTGAATTTCTCCGCTTTTGATTTTCCTGAAATTTAGTGTAATCCTCCTGCTTTCAATTCAGTGCTTTACAGAAAGTTATAAAAATTCTGTGTTGACATACTATATTGAGTTTCACTGTGAAATGATTGATGATTCTCATGAAATCAAGAAACTGACTGTTTTTTTCTTAATATTCTTGAGAGCAACTGTTTCAAGTTTGAATACAGTCTTCCCGGGATTGATTATATTTACTGGTAACTTACAGCAAAATCCAACGGATGCATTTTAATCCACTTGAGACTTGTCAATTGGCTGCATCTCTTAACTATGTTAGTATTTTCAAAAGCTATTATCCATTTGTCGATTCAAACTGTAATAACAACAGAAGACAAGAGCCAGGCGACAGATCGTTTTATTACGGAAATCAAAACGTATTTATATATATTTCATGTACATTATTATAGCTTATTCAAGTAGACAAACACAGTCTTCTGATTGGTTGTTTCGGGTTTTCTCGGGAAGTGGAGCCATCTATCTGCGAATCATGTTTTCCCACGTTAAGTCTGCTGTGATTGGTTGTTGAATCAGTCTTGCTCATATTTTCTCACGGCCAATATTAGCGACATAGATATTGACGTAAATTGATGTCTACCAATTGACTAGCAGCCTGCTCTCACCACACATGTACATATTATAGATTATTGTTAGCAGAAAACACACAGTGTTCTGATTGGTTGTTTCTCACAGAAAGTTAACCTTGTATCTCTTTGTGACTGTTTCTTGAATGTCACATCATCTATGTGTATGTTAACTGTATCCGCCTACACAAAGCCTTTGTTCTCATCTTTCTCACGACCAATATTGGGGACAGACATTGACGTAAATTACTGTCCGCCAATTTAGACTAACAGCCAGATCTCACCACAAAACCACTTGTAATTTCATCCAGTTAACAACAATGAGTCATACGTATTTTGTGTAAGGCCTAGTGATACTACCCTAGCCTCTAAAACTTCGATAGGTGGTGGTTCAGGGTTCAGTTATTGCCAGTTAGTGTAATAGCATAGATTAAAAGTTTTCATAATTTTCATTTATGATGAAAAGTAGATCAGTTGGTGTTTTATGTTGCTTTGCATCTAAGGCTGTAACTTCCAGTATGGTTCATATAATTTTATGAGTTTCAATTCTGACTTATTTTATTCACTTAGACACTTTACTAATAAATGGTGTATTTTGAAGGAAAATACTTGTAGATAGAACTGTTAGATTTACATCATTGGTTAATAAATTGGCACAATACTTCTGCGTCCGAAGTTGTCATCTAAATACTTGGAATGAGTGCATTTATTATGGGGTAGTTGAAGGTTTTAGACCCAGGTTTTTTACATGTTGACGCTTATTAACAAGGCATGTCTAAAATTTCAATCAGACGGCTGACTACCTCATAGATTGAAAGCTGGATTCACCTGACACTGAGCCAACCTTAGGCAGTTTCACTCATCTTTTCTCTTGTTCATGACTGATTTCACTTGGACGTTAACTAGCTGCATATCTATTCAGCTGCACGTACATGGTTGCTGGTAATACCCAAGGATGGAAGGTGAACGTTCGTCTACTTAGAATAATCCTAACATACTTACAATTAATTTAATTGAATTTTAGATTTTCCCGTCGATTGATTGGCCTGAAATGCTCGGTTTGAAACTATGGGCAGTGGTTTCGAGCCTCGGTGGGAACACCATCATTCACTGGGAAATGCAGGTACATCCAGATGATGAGTCTCAAATAGGACGAAATGCGCATCCTGAATTACACTGCTAGTCACCATCCACCAATTAAATATACTTACAATTACATTCTGTTTTTGTTTGTGTATTCACACGTATATTTCATTTTGTTTTACTAATAATTCAACTTTTTGCCTTACATATCTAGGTTTTGCTTGTAAAACTTTCACGCCGACTTCATCGATACGCATTGGTCAAAATATACCTGTGAATACACAGACAGCTGTATCTGGAACTTTCTCAACTAATTCAGTTGCATTTCCTGGTCGTCAATTTCGAATTATCGGATTACCGAATGCGACATCTGCTGTTTGTACTGCAAGTACTATTGAAACTCAAGTATATGCTCAAGAATCGCATTCAGTATGTTTAACACTTTTAAGGTTTTTGATAATTAAAATTATGAATTTCGTATGATGGTTAAAGTTGATGAGTATCAAATTTTGTTGGGTTTATTTTAGTTTAAATACTGTATGTTTATGTGTGATAAGAGTGTACAGTCTTTATTATAACTGTGAGGGACCTTATAAGCAAATTTGAAACGTAAAACTACTGACTTAGAAACCATGGACAGATTACAGCACCAAACATTATTATTATTATTACTCCCTTGAAGTTCCTAGTGGAACAGAGGTTTCAGTAGCACAGCTCCATTTCATCCTATTCTCTGTATGGGTTTTTCTAACTGACTCCACGACTCCTCGTAAGCTTTTATTCTCCCCTTCCCAACCACACGCACACACACACACGGTATCCTCCATGTCACTCTCGAGGATTGTATTATATATTGTGGTGATACCCGACTCGTTTCCCATTCAGGCCCCACTGGAGTGCTTGGCGCGTGATGTCATTCATTGGTCTCCTCTGTGTGTCCAGTCCATCTCCATTTCTTTTGGCGTATTTGTTGGGTAGTAGGTTCTTGGTTGGTTCTTTGCTACAGAGTCCCTTGCTGCTAATCCTTCCTTGCCCTCTGATCTTCAATATGAAGCGAATGTATAGTGTAAGGACTGATTACATTACCTGGTTGACTGAGTTTCAGCAGCCGATTGGAGAATGTGTAAATGTGTTACTCCAATAGCTGTCGGCTGAATTCTTAAGCTTACAGCTTAAGTCCATAATCTGCTGCATAAATAAAAACATTAGTGAGTGAATTTTTTTAAGGCGAAGACAGCATATAAAAGTGTGAAGCGGAACACCGACGAATGCGCGCCAGGGTCAGGCAAACAGCATCCAAACTGTGAAGGACCACACGTAGACAAAATCGCATCTGTAAACAGAGAGAAACAGGTGAACGTCAGCGAGCACCGAGATTCCAGACAGCAAGACAAACGAATATAGTCACCAGAACCAAGAAGATCGGACCAACTTCAATCGAAATTCTTTGACGGGGGGACGAGTGTGGTGATAGCTGTCTGCTAGCCAAAATTGGTAGACAGCAATTCACGTCAATGTTTACTTCCCATATCTTGGTCATAAGAAAAACAAGAACAGAGACTTTGTGAGGGCGGGTACAATTCGCTAATATATGGTCTGACCTCCAAAGAAGCGGCCACAAAGAGATGACAGATTAACTTTCAGCGAGAAAACGACCATTGAGAAGACGCTGTTTCTCTGCTAATAATAACGAATAATAATGTACATAAAAATCTCTAAATATCTTTTGATATCCTCAATAAATGATCTGTTGCCTAGCCCTTGCCTTCTGTCGTTATAGTATATTATAGACTTTCAAGTATATTGGTAAAACGTGTGATAACGATTACCGGATTTCATCATTTTACTTTAAACCACTAATTTTTGCAGTTAGTGTTATATATATATATATATATCAACCTAAATTAATCTTACTCCACTCAATGTTAATATTTGTGTTAATTGTTTTCTTATTTCTGTTCACACTACAATCTTGTTTATAGTCAATTCAAAACAATTCTAATGCTACTAGTGTTACTCTATCAAATCAATTACCTCAAATTCCACATGTCGGAACAATCGTAGAAGTTGATTTGGATTCAGATACTTACAATGAGCAGAACAATTATACGGATCGAAATACTGTTAGTAACATTAGTAATAAAATCATTCCAAAGACAACGTTATCATCGTCGGACTTACAGAAAATAACACCTGTCCATAGACCAGTAGTGTCTACTTCAAATGCAACTCCAGCAAATAATAACAGTAACAACAATAATCGAAGTGGGGTACATGATACATCTCGATTCTGTACACAAACTTCGAATGATGTTACTCAATTGAATATAGCCAGTGTAAATAAAGTGGATAGATTGCCAGCATACAGTAGTGAGGTGAGCGTAATTTTCTTTACTTATTTCCCCTCCCATCTGAACTATGATTGTTCTTGTACTATCTCTAAATTTTTTGAAAGTGAACTACTTCTGTCCACTAACTGCTTTGTAGCAACTGCCTTGAGTAGTAAACTCCGCAAGTAGCCATCTATTCCTTCCACTTGTCGACTGTGAAATCCCATGTTTGACTCGACTTAGTGAATTCATTTTATCAGCTTAGAAAGTTAGCTAATAAACCATTTATTAGAGCTTTTCTAAATTATTAGAAACTCTGCATATCAGTTGCAATCTGTCTGCTTCTAGCTAGACTAGTTTACATAGCATATCATGTTGAGTAGGCTATTAACTAACAACTTTCACCTCCTCAACTTCAGATAAGACTATTCGCCTTAAGTGTCATCGCAGTGTTTTTCAATCCTTACGTTCTCCGTAGGCGTCAAGTTTTGAGTTTCAGTAACAGTGGGGTTCCTAGCCTCCTACTCAGCTTTCTCTCTTTTCCATGATTGCTACCGGCTAGTAAACTAGGCGAGAGTACGTCAACTGGGAATGGAATTTGGACCTCCCTAATGTATGATGAGCATTCTACCACTGAACCATTGATTCTGACTGACTGACTGGTTTCAGCGTAGAACTTTGCTCTGATGTCTGTCTGTCTGGATTCAACATAGAACTTGGCACCGAAGTGCAGCAGTTCGAGTTGCCACGTTATGTGGTCTATTTGTGTCCAGCGTTGGTTAGATGAAGGGGGTCTCCAAGTCAAACAGTGTCTCTCCTTGTGTTTGAAGTTAGTGCTTACGAGAAACAAATGATTATCAGAACAGAACTGTAGGAGACGGTCACCGTTGTCGGTTCGCTGGCACGGTACTCCATAGGTGCCACCGACATCCTTCTCAGATTGACACAATTTCCCTACTTGAGCATTAAAGTCACCAGCTAGAACGACTATATCTGAGCGTTTGGCCTTTCGCAGCAAACCAGGCAGCTTTTGGTAGAACTCATCCTTCGTTTCATCCGAACTACAGTCACTAGGGCGTAGGCGGAGATTACAGAAAGGCATCGGCGAGTAGTGCAGTCCTTTCTCCTTCTTACTGATCCTTTCAGACGGACAGCACACATTCGGCTATCTACCGGGATCCAGTCAATTAATGTCTTTTCTGCCCTAGTACTCAAAGCTATCCCTATGCCAGCTAATCCTCGTGAACTGGCTGTGGCATCTCCTGACACCCTCAAGGTGAATTTTGAAGATTCATCCTGTTGGCCAGGTGGGGTTAGGTGAATAACCACACTTGGGTCTTGTATGTATGTTTCTGAAACACAACATGCATCAATGGCTCGAGACGCCAGAGTCTTGGATAGTGATGCTTGTTGTCCTATTTGGCAAAGTGTCCTAACATCAAATGCTCCATATGAAATTGGTGGCGTGGCTTTAGGAGACTATCCGTGGTGGTTTTTTGGCTTCCGTTGTTTTTAGTGGACACAGAGTGAAGAGGGAGTGAGGAGCCATCAAGTAGGGGAGTTGTATCAGTGGGAGGAAGGCAAGGCAATGGAGATGAAGATGAAGACAAAGATAAGTGAGTAATAGAGAGGTTTCGTGTGCATTTCGGATTGTGAGGGCGTTTGTTACTTCCCGGCTGCCCACACCGTGGAAGTTGGTTGCGTGACCGCAGAGCCCAGGGGACAACTGCTTGAGGCCGGTCACACGCGGCCTGTTTTTGTTTGTTCTTTTTTGTTTGGTGTGTCTCAGTAGCATACTTATCACTCCTGCCCTGTGACACGGCAGCAGGAAGCGCGGTCGTTGTTAATCCGGGCCACGGCCGATCCGGCATGAAATTTTGTGAGTTTGTTTGAATCATGGTATCGGATGGGGTAGCTGCTTTTTGTTTAACAGCTATCCAAACAACCTGCCTGGCATGGTAGAACCTCAAGAGACATAAGTCTCAGCCAGTATAGCTTGAGTAGATCATTGCGGTGTTCAAGCCCGACCACCACGTCAAGGTAGCAGCTGTGATGTGCAGCAGTTTGAGTCACCACGCTTCACTTAGCACACAAGGCAAGAGAAAAAACCAAAAGAGATTCAAACCAGAGATAATAAACAGAAATATGAGGCAAAAAGAATAGTAACATGCAAGAACAACGTAGTTTTATTGAGTAATAAAGTCACAAGGAGTAGATGCATCTGCACCAGCGACTGAGAACGAATTTGAGCCATATCACCGATTGTCTCCAGCCGTCATTGGCTCTTATCGTCCCGAGAATCGCAACCAGAAAGTTTACAGCTTCCTACGTGACTGAGTTAAACTAAACTAGTATTAGACAAATCGGACTATTTGGACAAGGTAAATACTCACATACAAACAGGACCATATGAGGAAATTAATAAATCAATAGACACAGTTATGAATATGATTAAGAAATCCACAGCGGACCTTATACGCCGAATGAAGCCGTTTCTAGGTGAGTCTAAGTGGCTTAATTTAATGCCAAAAACTAATAACCCCAGTAGGATGTATCGTGTTGTTAAAATTCATAAGTCAGGATACCCTATTAGGCCTATAGTTGATTTTAGAAATTCACCTACCTATGAATTATCTAAATATTTAGCCATGGTATTAAATCCCCTAAAAATCCACTCGAAATCTAGACTAACTAATTCTTATGAACTAAAACACAGATTAGATAATTTAAAATTAGATAATGAAAAAATGGTTAGTTTTGACATTGTCAGTTTATATACACGTATACCAATAAATATGGCTATAGAGGCGGTCAGAAACGAACTCATTTCTGACCAAGAACTCGAACTTAGGACAAAAGTGCCACTTGGGGACATAATGCTGGGAGTGCAGCTTTGCCTGACTTCTACAGTATTTAAATTCCAAGGGAAAATATACAAACAAACTGAGGGAGTTGCCATGGGATCACCAATATCCCCGGTGGTAGCAGATATATTCATGGATAGGTGGGAAAAGATAGCGATTGAAACGTTCACCCCCACCCCAAAAGTATGGTGGAGGTATGTAGATGACACATTCACTGTACTTAGAACACAAAATATAGATGGATTTTTCGAGCACATCAACTGGAAGGTAGAGGCAATTCAATTCACTTATGAATTGGAAAGTCAGGAAGGGGAACTTCCAATGTTAGATTGCAACGTAAAAAGGAAAGAAGATGGGAAGCTAAACACTAGTGTTCACAGAAAACCCACACATTTAAACAGATATTTGCACTTCCGATCATCCCATCCTATGTCAGTAAAAATAGGATTAGTGAAATGTTTAAATGACAGAGCACAAAAACTAAGTAGTACCAAGGAAAATCTAAGACAGGAAGTGATACACAAAAAAGAAGCCTTGAAACTTAATAGTTACCCGGATAAATTAGTCAAGAAATATGTAAGTAAATGTAAAAATAAAATAAATAATGATAATAGCGATAGTGATAATAATAATAATAATAGTGATAATAATAATATTAATAACGACATCAAGAATAAGGAATGTAAATCATCAACAGTAATTCCATACAAAGAAGGAACTTTGGAAGCCTTACGCAGAATTCTTAACAAGGCAGGAATAAAAGTGGCTGGCATTCAAACCCACAAACTCAATTAGAAACAAGCTTTGTCGGTTAAAGGATCCTGTAGAGCCATTAAAACAAAACAATTTAGTTGATCTAATACCCTGCCGGAATGATTGTCAGGTCAAATACATAGGTCAAAAAAGGAGAACAGGGGCAGTCAGACTAGCCGAACATAAAAAATCTAGCAAAATCTAGATTAGTTGACCCAAATAGGATAAGAAATCTGGGGAATAGTTCAGCTATAGCACTCACTACATGCAATTACACATAACCATACAATAGGATGGGATAGGATGGCAATTTTAAAATCTAATGTCACAGGGTGGAGGGAGAGATTGATAACAGAAGCTTTGTTTATCGAATCAACTGCAAATACGTATAATAGGAATGATTCAACATCTGTCCCAGATACCTGGAAAATTCTACTACTCCTGTGACAAACAAGAGAGAGCTCAGAAAACTATAAAACTCAAGTTTCAAAGTCGTGTGATTACAGTTGATATGATTATGAACAATAAATTTTGTTCGAAACGTCATCCAGTATACAATACTGTTTCACTGTGTGATACATTTAATAAACAAACTAATATGGAATTACTTACTACCACAGTGCCCGCGTTTTACACATATATTAAACTAATTGTTGTGGATTTCATTGACTAAAGCCGTGTTTTGTTGTGACCACCACCAGCTCTTTTCCAACTTGATCCTATGTTGGTCAGCTAACACTGTCCGTCGACGATGGCTGTGCCTAGGCATACGTAACACATGCCCTAACCATCTCAATCGATGCGACTTCACAGCCCCTTCGTCAATTGATTTCGATTCACTGTGGCTATAATAGGCTAAACTTTAAGGCAAAATATTTTTCTCTTCCAAAAGATGATACTAGTTAAATTGTAAGTAATCAATATCAAATTGTCAGAATTTTTATTGCGTATATTTTGAAATAATTTATATTAGTCTGTTCCAACAGTTCTCCTGTTCACCCTCATATTTATAATGCAAAAGTAGAATTACTAAATGAGTAAAATCTGACCCTAAAAATTTGACACTATTTTCGTGCAGAATTCATAGGAAATCCCCACTAGGAGGACATTCGAGAATGGTAAAGTAGCAAAGTTCCCTCAACAGTAAAGGAACTTAATATGTTTCTCCATTATCCTGTCAAGCCTATTGTTATGAATGTGAAGATTCGTTTTCCCTATGAATCCATTAAGCATCATGAATTTCCTGAATAGTTTTCGAAAGTGCTCCGGCATATTCATATGTATTCTAACGCACAATGTCTATCAAGAGACACGTGATGAATCGTATGATTTTGTCATGCACATGAAAGAAATAATAAACATTAACAATATAAGAAAAATAAGGTGCATATTCCTTTTCGCTTTTTGTAGAGGTACTTAAAATTTGCTTAGATGAAGCCTGAAATCACAATGAAAACGTGTTAGGTGTCCATTTCTTTCCACCAGTTGAAGTAATGTGTAATCAAAGCTTTGTTATCAGATTAGTATATTTTGACTGTAGTTTTTTTTAAGAACTGATACTCGAATTCAGGATCATTGTTTTTTTAAATCCTGGCGCATTTCTATGATATACTTATATTTTTTGTGACCTGTCACTCATCGTCTCCGAAGATGCATCACTTAATCAGGTGCTAGTTCCATTACGAAACCGTTACTGGGAAATTATGGTTTGATGATATTAGATAGATAGTTGGAGGCAATCGGCCACAGAAAGCCTTGGACCTAGGTTTCGTGCTAGTCGTCACCAGTCAGCAAGCAGTATCTCCAACCTTGAAGGAATTCATGTTCCTTCTGAGATTCGAACCTGCGTCACCCAGTGCTGCAGTCAGAGACGTTACCACTGAGCTATTCGGGCTCGAGATTAACCTCCTGTAGGACTGTAGTGGGTATTTTGATTGGACACTAGTAACTAATGTGACGTGTATAGTCATTTCTTTGGTGCAGACTAAATTCTATCAGTCATGTGGTGACGTATCTGACTGCAGCAGAGTGATGAGGGTTCAAATCTCAGAAGAGACATGAATTTCTTCAAGGTTGCAGATACACCTTGCTGACCAGTGACGACTAGCACGAAACCTAGGTCCAAGGCTTCCTGTGGCCGATTGCCTCCATCTATCTAATACCATCAAATCTACGTGCACTGTGACTTGTGATCTCCAATGAAACTGTTTTGTTTTTCTTTATTACTCCTTTGTCTCACACCTCTGCTCACTGTTTCTATTATGCTTTTCTTGTACTTTCTTCTCTTGCTTCGCGTGCTACACGGAGTGTGGCTACTTGAACTGCCGCACATTTGTGCAAAGTTCTATGTTGAAAACAGACAGACAGACGTGCACTGTGATGGCGAGCTACCCATAATGATGGCCACATTGTAAACCTCTCTGATAGAGTTCAGTCTGCATCAAAGAAAGGACTAGACATATCACACTAGTTACTAGTCTCCAATCAAAATTATGATTTTAGTCATGCAACGGTGGTACTATTTTTCATTATTCGTCCTGTGTGATTGTAATCTTCTTGGTTATTTTGTAATATGCTGGTTACTTTGGTGAAAAACACATAGACGGACAATATTGTCCTCAGTTAGATCTCCTTCAGGCTTCACTCTGATGTGTATAGCTTTATACATAGAAAATTGACCAATTGACGATAAGTTTGTGGGCCAGAAATAACAAGTGTTTAACGTGAATTTGTCACTAATAACGATTATAATAATAGCAAAGTCAGTGATAACAAAAGTACTAACACTTGATGCAGGTGACGATTTGAATAATGAAGGTGGTATAATAACATAAACAATTCAATAAATAAATTAGGTCAGGTCCTACAAAATTAAAAGTTACGTAATACTAAAGCTGAAGCGGATGGATGATCAGAGTTTAAATATATATCATATAGGTACGAAGGAAATGAAGAATAAGGAAGGGTGTTAAGTTTTAATTAGATTTACCTTGGCTAAAGGAGAAACAAACGTAGAACAAACTTTTATATATGAAGACTAAGATTGTTCTCTCGAATTCCCAAAATAGGCGAGTTCGAATTGCGTTCGAAAGGTCTGATGGAGCGCAATAGGTAATCTTGAAGTCACTTCTTCTGTCTACCTAGTGACCACTATCAATCAAATGAGACAAAATTTTATTTAGCCTTCTCCTAACCATGAAAAAAGATGCTCTGTAATGCGTTTGTTAAGTTGTCTGGTTCTTCGCCTTATCTCTCCACTAGGGTTAAGGTAAGTGCACATAGAAGTGACGCAGCTAGGTGGCTTTCGCTTGAGCATTCCTAATTGATCGGCTGGTAAATGACAAGCAAAGGCTGGCAGCAGTATGAATCCGTTTTATAGCTCTAGATAATCTTAGAGGTAGGAATTCATTAGCCACGCACCTATTGAATTCCAGCGTCAGTAACAACTGTTTCTTTTTAACTCATGGTCGTTTGTTGTTTGTAAAAATACTGTCTTAGTCATACCACATTAATTTGTACTCATATCAATTGTTGTTCAGTAGATAATCCTATTCATAATATGACATATAAACAATGAACAGATTACCGTAGAATAACTTGCTACCACAGTGTTGAAGTTTAATACGCAAAGATTTCTGTTATAATTACCTTTTTTAGGATAAAGGAAAACAATCAACAGAAGCTACTTCCACGGATTCAGCACATCAATGCATTGAGCTAAATTCTTCTTGGAATCATACTCGCAGCAACAATCCCACTGATGAATCCTATCCTGCTAATATTACTACTACTACTACCACTGCTACTACTACTACTACTCCGAATGTATTTAACATCAATCCCCCAAGTCCTAAACGATCACGTTTCGAATTGTCAGCAGCATCGGTTGAAAGTTCGCATTAATAGTAGCAACAACAATAGACGGGTGGATGATGTGTAAAATTTAACTTTGAACAAGTGTCATTACACTATTATCATTTCTTATTACTACCACTACTACTATTAGTTTATATGTCTTCTTTTCAAACTTTCTTTTGATTGTTTATTTTATTATTATTATTTTTTCTCTATCTATCGATATGTACTTATTTATTTATTTGAGGAATTTATCAGGCAAGTGAGTGATTATGCCTCAAGGTGTGTTTATGCGTTTAAACTCCTTTGTTCTTTCTCTCCCTCTCTCTCTCTCTCTCAGTCTCTCTAGCTTTGAGCATACTCACTCACTCGCTCAACGAGAAGTCAGCATACTTCGTTTATCTTTTAAACTCTTTCTTGAAGTATCATTATAATTTATTCATTGTATTATATCAATATTGAACAATACCATACCCCCCCATACCTTGTATCATACAGTGAGATATTCTTATAAATTTATGTATTATTATTATATACTCTCATATTTTTATGTATTTGTATGTGTGTAGTGTTTCACATACTCCCTATACGACATTATACGATAGTAACACACACACACACACATGCAAGATTGTATTAATAATGGTTACATATTATATACTTGATAAAAGAGCTTATCATTTTGTCCACCATATAGGCTATAGTCTCTCTCTCTCTCTCTGACTGTCGAACCAATCTCTCTTTTATCCTGTCTTGTCACATATATATCATAAATTTTTTTATACTCATACAGTTGTACTTACTTGTAAACTGTTTTACACAGTGTATTGTTCATATCTTTTGTTTTTCAAACACTGATTATATATATATATATATATATATATATATATCATCTATCTGATGTATTACTCGATTGATTGTATTTGTACATAGATTGTATTGTGTTCATCTACTCTATTGTACACGCTGTATTACGAAGAGACAAGCTTTGAATTGCATTCATTATTCATCCGCATTAATCTTAATCATTATTTGTTCCATTCACTATATACTATTCACTATATATTCACTATACGTACGATGATGATGATGATGATGAGGAGGAGTACGGGTTGCATCGTTTTTGTGGTGTCATTGTTGTTACAACTAGTGTTCCCATTGTTTCATTTCTTTTTCTTTTTATCTGTCAGGTCTTGTATTTATTCCTCTACAAAACCATACTTGTTATATTGTCTAAGCTAAAACATAAAAGGCTTTATAAGGAGAATGACAATTCAATTAGGTAAGGGGATATCAAAGGAACTAGCCAGTTTTGCTTGGTATAGTAGGCGAACAGTACTTGTGACTGTGTTTTCGATTAAGACATTGAAGGCATATAGTTGTCATCTGGGGACTCTTTTTTTTTTCCTTTTTTCCACTCTGTTTTTGAGCATTCGCTTTGTTGCTAAGGTGTTTTTTTAAGTCCCACCACCTCCACATACTTTCTTTACTGTCAATAGTATGAGTTGTTAAGTATTCAATGAATACTGTCGAGCTTATTTCTTATTAGTTTGAAGAAATCGCCTCTTTCTCTTTCCCATCGATATTGCTTTTGCTCATTTAGGTCTCTACTCTTTCTTTTCTCCCGATCGTTGTGACTTGTGAGTTGCCAGTATATTGGCATTGATGAGTTCTCCTCCTACTACAGCTGCTAAGACGACTACTACAACTTCTAGCAAGAGGTTATAGTTTATCAGGACAGCAGTGTTGACTAATCTCTTTGAATATAACGTGTTTTCTAACATTTTTTTAATTATTATTATTATTATCGAAGTTGTTCAACACATATCTTAACTGTTTTCTTCATTGAGTGTATAAGTTTAATAGAGAGTAAATTTCTAAATTACATTTTTGTATCACATTTTATTTGTTTGTTTTCTCTTTTTTGGTTGACTGATTGCATGCTATTTCCATTGTAAATATAAATTTAAATGTTTTTATACACAGATCTTTAACTTTTTCCTCATTATTGTTTTGACTGTAAATTATTTCGTATGTAGTGGCAAATGGTGTGTGTGTATGTGCATGTGTATGAGGTAAAGTCTAATTGTGCGTTGATGGTTCACTGGTAAAATGCTTACCAACCATATCACACGCGGTCCGAAGCTCAACTGTCAACCGACGCCTTCCTAAACCTCACTTAATGAGGTGAAAAGAGAAGGTTAGACGTGAGGCTGACAACCTCATCCCGTGAAAGATAAAATCTTCAAGTATTGGCTTTGTAGGGATTTTTCTTTGATTAGTTGGAGGATTTCATCATGAGCTGACATCAGTTAGAGAAGTGCTAGAAAACCTGTGAGTACTGGACAACTGTTTCAGCCTAGTTTGGGACTCTTCAGTAGTAGGCATGCACCGGGGTTCGAACCCAGGACCTTCTGGTTACAAGGCGAGCGAGCTCGTAGACCTTTGGGCCACTGGGACCCGATTCAGGATCCTCAGATTTTCCAGTGGTTCTCTAACTGATGTCAGCTCATGATGAAATCTGCCATCCAATCAAAAATGAAATCATCGCTAGTGAAATTTCAGAATTGAAGCCCTATATTCCACTGGGGAAACCAAAAGAATTAAAGAATAATAATGTTCATGATTTTCTTATTTTCTGTGTATCAATAAAACACCTTTTGTGTATACGTGTAGTGTAAGTAGTATGTCTATGAATCAGGGAAGATATGTGATCCGATGAAGACTTAGTACTCTGGAATTAGTTATTGACACATTCTTGAAGCTGTATAGGAAAGCTAAAAGTGTCCTATTGTTGTTGGTAGATGTCTTTGACTTGAATTCTCTAGGTGATATAATTGGAAATCCACCACATTTGCACAAACCTACTCATATACTTTAATAGCTTTGTTTTTCTGTTTTTTTAGTTCTAATATCAAATTTCCTTATGTTGTCGTATTTTACTAAATGGCATGATGGTAGAGTTTTCATCACTTTATTTCTTACTGTCTTCTGTGTGATGTGAAGATACTAAAATGTATGGTGACTGTGCAGCTTCAAATTTTGCCTGTCTTACTGCCAGCCATGCATGAGGTCTGGATTCGACTCCAAACCTACGCATTCCAAAACACTGTTTAGTTTAACAGTAAGTCCGGAAAAAGAGGAAGGGTTGGGCGTAGAACAGGAAAAAAATGCACTGTTGGCGCCCTCTTTTCCATGTAGAACGCAAAGGAGTGAAAAAGATGCATTCAGTCTCTAAGGACAAATATTGTCGTTAGTATTAACCTCTTTATGCTTGGAGTTATACACTGAAATCCTGATTCAGTTTATTATTCCCTTATACTCAAGTGTTACAGTTTTGTATGCTATTTGTAGTTTCTATTCAAACTTTGAGCTCTGCTTCTTTTTTCCAAGTATATTCGTCCGAATATCCATTCGACACCTAATTATTTTACTGATTACATCATTTCGGACTAATGTCAATCATAGTTACTACCAATAACTCTTTATCAGCACTGTCAAAATATGTTGAAAATTTCCTTATAATTCAACTACCTTTTCATCATTGATTAGGTTGTATACAGGTGAAACACGTCAGTGAAATGGCAAAGACTGAGTCAAATTATCCTGCTTTTCTCATGTATAGAGTAGTTCGTTAGTTTAATCCCTTTTGGAGAAAATTAAGTGGCTTTAATCATTATTGAGTTTCAATTCCTACGACGATGCCGAATGATCTCATCAGTTTGACGTAAACAGTCATATTCAGGATGCAGCGGTAATCGATATGTTTTCGTATAATTTTTATATCGAATTAAAATTAGGCGAAGAAACGATGAAATAGGACAATTCGAGATATGGTGATATGTAGTTTTCACAGTTTACATGTAGAATTTAATAAGCTTTGAAATGTGTTTTTTAAATCATCCGTGCTATGATGTTGATTAAGGTGCTTGAAATTTGACATGATGAACATTTGTTTAAGGTTATTTGAATCCCGTGTTGATTGGATTACAGTGAACCGAAAGGCACGGTCTCTGTTGACATGTTGAATCCTAGTATGGATGCTTCGACAATGTCTGACGGTTAACATGCTATTGTTTGTGGCTACCAGGGGAATCTGAGGTGCGCACTTCATCCTATTTAGAGCCCGTCACCAGGATGTAACTGCATCCTCAGGGATTGATTGTGATCCCAGTGAGACTGGAATCCACCACCCATTGTTTCGAGGTCTAAAGGATTTCTCATAAAAGTTATTCTTAGCTTCCAAATGTTACTGCTTTGTCGTTTGTTATTCTAATTGGCTGAAACCAACCAAAGCTTGAGAGTCGCTTACTGTGTTGTCTCTGCTGATCCCACCACGTGTTGTGTGTGTCAACTTAATTTTGATCTGTTAATGAATCTATGGTATAAGTTTTTTTAGACTGAAGTAAATTTCAAAGCCAATTTTTCTGTGCGTTGAATCTTTTATGTCGTATAAATACTTCAGGATCATAGATTCAATAAGAATTACGACCTAGAGTTGCAAAAGTCATTTTAAGCGAAATGCTTAGTTTCCCGAGTTCAAACACTTTCTGATGACTTGTATCACAGTATCAAAAAAGAAGCCATCACTAAAGACCACAAGAAAAATGCATTCTACCATATACATAGCATGCTAGCCAGCACAATCACTTCATCTGATATTGTGCAAACCGAAAGATCCAATCAATGCATGTGGATAATTATGGACACCAATTTAGTGATTAGGATAATGTCGAAATTTTAAATAGAGGAAACACCAAAAATGCTAGGGGATTTATATAAGCCTGGTACTCAAGGGAATTAACAATTAACAAAAACACTACTAAAGAATTGGTATTCAAGTATTGGTTTGTAGGGATTGAATACCAATGAGATGCTCACTGGCTACTGGCCCTATTCAGGTAGGTAGTTACCTGGGGTTCCAGTGAAAAGTCGTGACCAGTAGGGTGCAGCAGGTCGGGTGTGAGGACAATTACTCGCCGAAGACATTGGCTAGCGGTCGCGCTATGTTGTGAATTGACAGAAACTGGAATTCATGGGCCATAGGATCGGGTCCCAGTGGCTTAATGGTATACGAGCTCGCCTTGTAACCAGTAAGTCCTGGGTTCGAACCCAGTTGGGGTGGGTGCGTACTGCTGAAGAGTCCCAAACTAAGACGTAGGAAACAGCTGTCCATTACTCCCAGGATTTCCAATAGTTCTCTAACCAATGTCAGCTCATGATGAAATCCTGTAACCAAATACTACTAAAGAGCAAATTTGCCAACTAATAAAAAAATAAATCACATGACAAGAAAGTTCAAATTCCAAGTCAGTAGAAATGATCAATCGAGACGTAAATTAACAATCAGTCACGACAATGGTTGCTAAGAGATACAATTACACCATTCATGGAGAATTCAAATAGGTTCATTTTATCCTAAAACCTGAGCTGAAGATGTTGATTGGAGGACGACGAAAGCGTTGCAGTTAAACCGAACAGCTCAGGTAACACAACTAACTCAAATTTATTCTCTTTTTTCATATGACTTAATCCATATTTAACTACCCTTTTTTCATAGGATTATGAAAGGTTGGATACTGTTGACAGCTTATCCAAGCAAATTCAATCTGCAGCTGTTGTTTTATTACGCAAAGATCTGTCGGACAGTAATGATGATGTATTGAAAGAATTCACCTCTGTCTTTTCTGAAGATGAATTGTCTATCTCAAACTCACTTCGATCTTTACGACAATGGGCAGCTTCTGTACCAGATCTCCTAACCGACGAAAGAATCTATGATCGTGTCAATCAGTGTCGGATAAATGTGTTTATCACGTTGAAAAATTTTCTCGACTCATTACTCCTTTGGTTATTTAATAAGGATTGTATCACTAAAGACTGGCAATCTCTTCCTGTAAATATACAGTCGAATGTTATCCTAAGCCTTTCAATATGTTTTCAAGTAATAATTAATCTTCTAAGTGAGTCAATCCACTCGGTTGAAACATTTAATGCCAATAGTTTACTTACCATCTTATTGTCTGGTTCACGACCGTTAATACTTTTAACGGATTATGGAATGGTGTTGTGGAGAGACAAATGTCACTGTGTAAATCACAACAGAGTATCAAGTCATTACTCTTATCTACTCTATTTATTATTTTTACGTATTGAACAGACCGGAGACAAAATGCATGAGTATGTGCTCCAAAATATACTTAGCAAAATAATGCAAAATCAAAGCGTCATTTCAGGTTTGATGATAGGAGCTTGTGAGCCATCTGAAAACTCGCCTGTCCCAGCAAGACAACTTCACTATCAATTACTGGTTACTCAGCTTGCCACAGACTTAGTCAAGTATACTACTATTCCTTCATCAGAAAAATCTTTTTCAAATATTGCAGAGATTTTATCGCCTGTTGTTAATATCACTGGTGTCGCCTTATTACTATTAAGTGAAGATCAAACTGATCAGTTGTCATCATCTTCACAGACACAGTGTGTTGTAGGCAGAATCCTACCCACCAGTGTGAAATCATGTCTAGGTTATTGGCTTTCTTTCCTGGCAATGCTACATGCTTCTGAGATGGCAGATGTGATGGATATTCTCCTACTTGACTTATCCCAGTTATCAGTATCTTGGATAAAGGAATTGATTGAATATTCTCCAGCGGATGAAATAGGATTGGGGCTTGGTCGAAAAAATTCAGATTGTTTTCCAGTAAGTTACTATTTCATTGAGACTCTCAGCAAATAATTTCCAGAATAATAATATGTTGCCATTTTAATTTTATTAGATATTTTCCCAGTTGCACTATATAATTTAATTAAGAGGATTTAAACACTGATTACTACTGATAGGCACATAATCGTGACAGTAATTCAAGGACACTTATCAATGTAAATCTAAAGTATGATTGGTTGACGCGAAAACTCAAGCAGTGGGTCTTTAAATTTTGCCGAACCTTTGATGACAAATACAATCAGTCAGACAGATTTATGGTATACAACGTAACGTGAAAATGAACATCATGTACAATAAGTTGATATTATGGCAAAGAAAATCCCCACTGATCATTACGACTTACATCTTTTAAGAGAAATAACACCTCCTTAGAACAAAAGAATCTGGCTAGATCCCGTCAAAAACCTAGCGAAACACACCACAGTGTAACTTTAGAAGTAACTTTGTATTCTCTCCAGAAAAGATATTTTCTTGGAGAAAATGTTTGCAATGCACAAACAAGCCCTTCTTGTTGAGACTGCTTGTCGTCGCTATTACTCACAAGCTTTTGAAATTATCTGTTTGCAGCAAGGTAACTATCGTAGAGTAAGTAACCAATAAGAGCGATAGCGTCTTCAAAAAGTTATTTTCTTCTATTTCAGAAATCCTCTACTAATATTTACCGAGGATATCTGATTTGATTGAATCCATATAGATGCATAAATCTTAATAGCACCACCATTTCTCTTATACCTAATAGAAAATGGCTGAGTTATGTTGTCTGTTGTCAGTTTAAGTTTGACTTGGGGGGGGGGTGATTATTTCGTGTGGTGTGTTCATGTTTTATCTTCATCGAATTTTTGAATAACTTTTTATGTGTGTATATGTATGACTAATGTTCCTTTCATTTCATGAGCTCGATTTAAAAAAAAGTTAAACCGAATTCCGGAGGTTGAACCGAGTCAAATCAACTTCTCGATTCGCGAATTAATTTGCACTTTACACAGTTCGAGGTGGTTATAAGTGGTACATAACTACTCATCTCAACCAATCAGTAGTATATAGTTTTACGTAGTCTTCTTTAATTTGTAGTTGAATTTGTCTCAATCAACTAATTAATTTGTTCATTCTTTATAATTAATAATGAAACATTTATTGTTCTGCAACAGCTATTTCTTCAACATTTAAGTGGAGACGGTTGTTCACCAATGTTAGGCACAGTTACCTATTAGTGGGTTTGTATATATACCTTTACGATTATCATGTTGTTCGGTGTGATATTCTTGTGTTATATCACTTATGTGCTTATGGATAGTAATAATGTGGCGAGAGCAGGCTGGTAGCCAATTGGTAGACATTATTTTACGTCAATATCTATGTCGCTAATATTGGCCGTGAGAAAATATGAATAAACACTGATTCAACAACCAACCACAGCAGACTTAACGTGGGCAAACATGATTCGCAGACATATGGCTTAACTTTCTGAGAAACCAGTCACAAGTAGTACAGAGTAACCTTGAGCAAGAAACAAAAAATCAGAAGACTGTGTTTATCTGCTTGAATAAGCTATAATAATGTACATGAAATATGTATAAATACGTGCTGATTTCTTTATTAAACGATCTGTTGCCTGGCCCTTGTCTTCTGTTGTTACAATAATAGTATTTTTATACAAATAAATGTCGATTTCTAAACTTGTTTCTCCTTTTTAACTACATCCTCTAGACTAACTATTTCCCTTTTGCTCCGCTACGTGCTTTGGTGCATATATTGGCGGGTATTGCATTTTCCAGTTTAAATTCAGAAGTGATTATTTCATCGGCTACAGATGTGCATTGTAGTGATAGTGATAAACAACTGCCTTGTGATGAACTTCAATCACTGTCGATTAGCCAAGATAATGGCGATTCAATTAAAACAGAACAGAAGATGCCTATTAGTCAAGAGTGTGCTGGTCAACTATGGAAACTTCTGTGCAATATTCTAGTCGGTTTACATTATGGAATTGTTAAAATTGAAGAAACTTATAATATCTCTGATTCATTGGAAGGCAATTTACCGCTTCGTAATGATCCTGTCGAGGAGAAAGACTTCAAAGTTCACGCATCAAGACTGGCTAAGAAAATGGTATAGCATTTATTTGTTTTTGTTTATTTTCATTTTATTCACAGTCTTCTGTTTTATTTGTTTAAGGTACACTGTCTTTAATCTGTAGGAAGTTGCAAACAGCTCACACTTCGTATATATATATATATATATATATAAATTTCACTTCAGAACTTTTGAAAACCACCATATACCTATGAATCTCCTACTACTACTTGACGTCCACTTTTCTCTAGTTCTTCGACCTGAAAACGCTTTTGTTCCATTTAATTATACCATAGATTTTTTCTGTAATTGGTTTGTAAGGGTTAATTTTGTTTTTACTTGTTGATCACAGATTTATATCAGTTAGAGAACCATTAGAAACCAGGGAGTACTGGGCAGCTGCTGTTTCATTCTAGTTTTGAAAATCATCGGAAGTACGCACCCACTGCCAGGGTTCGAACCCAGGACCTTCCGGTTACGAGGCAAACTGGCTCGCATACCATTCAGCCACTTGGACACCCAATGCAATGTCTCGTGAATTCGAACTTCTACCAATTCGTGATTTAGCGCGACCTTCAACCAATGTCGTCGGTGGGACACACGTGACTGGATGGACCTCACCGGTCACGACTTCTCACTGGAACTCCAGCAAACTCCATCATGTAGCATGTTTTCCCCAATAATAAGGAGTACAAGTATCTGGTCTTCATACTGAATGTATTATTCATCTTTCTGAAACAAAGTTCTGATACACAACCTTCCGATGAATAAAACTGTTCAGAAATGGTTGAGTGTCTAAGGATGAGTGGTTTTGAAGAACCGTCTATTACATGGTATTCATCTTCACTGTCAATACTGTTCTCAGTAAATAAATGAATTCCTGTTATGTGGTGTGAATGAAAAAGTCTTAGTAAAACGTATTATGTTCTGTGGGACACGTCATGATTTACTAAAGGTACCAACATCTGAAGTACAAAAGATATAATGACAGGATTTAATAAGTTGAAGGTTGGATCATGGAGAATACATATAGTGTCTTCTAATGATTGTAATAATTATCTTTTGATAAATTTATTCAGATGCCGAAGGATAACAACTTTGGGGAAGGGATTCAATTTCGATTAACTGTTGTCACTTAAAGTAAATTCTTACTTAACTAGGTTGAGATATGTACACTGGTAGTCCAGTGGTAGAATGCTTGTCAACCATGCAAGTGTTCTAGGATTCGGTTCTTGGTAGACTCACTCCTAAACCTCGCTTAGCTTAGCAGTAGGCTCTGCAAATAGGGGAGGTTAAGCGTGAAGCTAGCAATCCCACCTCGTAAAAATAACCCTAAAACTTCAGTGTTCTAGACCCTGTGTTTCACTGGAAACGCAAAGGAGCAAAGTAAGTAAGTAAGTAGGAGGAAGTATAAATAGTAATAAAATCTTCAAAATATATCTAGACAGTGGATTTCGGAAATTAATCAGGTTGTATAGAAAATTAGTTGTGTAATTCTGTCATATCATTTTTTAAAATATTATTTGATTTATAAGTATAAAACTTGGTTGTTGGCAACTAGCGTTAGAATCTAGGGTACGCATTTTGTCCTATTTAGGATTCAACATCTGGGTGTATCTGCATCCAAACGACTGATGGTGACTCCTCCACTGAGACTCGAACGCTGCACCCATCGTTTCAAACTCCTAAGCATTATCCATCACTAGACTACTGAGCCATGAGAGTAATCTCGTGTGCAACAGGTGTTCCAGTTGTAATTTATTGAAATTGTTTTGAGTTCCCCTTATGATTGATTGATTTTAGTGGACATAAATCCTCGTTGATAGCTTAAATGTTTAATGTCACTGATATGTAGTCAGACATGTCATATATGTGCGGTGAGGTTGAATCAAGGTTATCTGGATCTCTTTGCTCACACCTATGTCCTCGGCCACGGAATATCCTTATTGGTTATTTTCTCTCTCTCTCTCTGAACGCTAGTGACCGTATATACATCTATACACATCGTTATTTTCTTGGGTAGACACTCCGTTGGTGGTACAATGGTTAGGACTCTCACCGACCATGCAAACGGTCCGAGGTTCGATCCCCTGCCGACGCACACCTGATATCTATGGTTGGCCTGCACAATTTGGGCTACTGATGTCACATCCTGAAAATTCCTTACTTGTACCAAAAATATAGTGTGGAATCAAGCTGTAATCAAAAATAGCAAAAATAAATAAAATAAATAATTTTTACCTTCTTATACGAATGAATATACTTTCCATCTGACGTCGTTGTGTGTTCTAGCCTAAGTGGAGCGGGCTGGGGAAACAAGTAGCTGACGTATATTGTTGTTGGCGTAGTCAAGCAATATTCCCCGTCAGCGCGTCTACATTCAGAATCGGCGTCCCTATTCTATTTCAATCTCGGTAGTATTACGCAATCAGGTTGCTTTTTCATAATCTTTTTTATATCTCTAAATCTGGATAAATATTTTGTCTTTTTATACCTATTCTCACTTGAAACGATAACCTTTCATTGTTTTCCGTATAGATATTTTTGTTATCAGACTGTTATTGCTTTATTCTACATCATATATCCGCATCCGTGAGTGAACCGATGAAAATTTAGAACCATTAAATAGTGCGGTTCATTCATCCTTGCTTAACACTTTTAACTAAGGTTTACCTGTCGCTCTCTATACAGGATCAAAATGAAAACTGTAAAATTTTACAGTCTAATGTTTTTCAAGCGTTAGCTTGTTTCAAATTTGAACATGGATAGATGTCATACTTAAAACCAGGGAGTGTTAGACAGCTGTTTCGCCCTAGTTAGGAGCAGTACTCACCCATTTAGGGTTGAAATCAGGATCTTCGCAATACACAACCAGCTAGTAGACGAAGCTTGGGACCTGATCCGATGGCCTGTGAACTTCAACTTCTACTAATTCCTGACCACCAGCCGTCGTCTTCGGGGACTATTTGACCTTGTGATCTCCACTGGTCATGACTTCTCACTACAACTTCAGGCAAGTTAATCTAATGTGTAGAAAACATGTACTAGCTCAATAAGTTCTTTAGTTTTGAAGTTATATATGCATAGTAAACTTAAACTAACTCGTGTATTATTTATCCACATTTCTCTTTCATGATATAAAATAGGTATTACTTCCTAGAACATCAGCTTTCTCATTAGTACAAGTTGTTGGTTTTAAACAAGACGTTATTCGATGTATGGTTGGATTGATTACACAATTTCCTCAGCTATCACTTGCTTTAGCACAGCACAAGTTTAATATCAGTGAATATTTGACGAGGAGAACATCGATGAATATTGATGTAGATAATATTTCAACCTTGCCTGACTCATCATCCTCACCGATGTCATCAACAACATCTTTTTTATCTGCATTTGAAGTGATTTTAGATTCAACCAACCGGGATCCATTCAATTCATTCTGTGCAGAATGGGCTATTCTGTTGATTCGTTTAGCTTTAAAATCATCTAATCATCCGGATAGTTCTGAAGCGATAGCTATCCTGTCATCAAAGCTCAATGGATTGAAAAGCATTCCATAATTCAGCTTTCGTTGATAACAACTTGTACTTACTATCATTATGCTTATTTTTTTTATTAATATTCAAATATAGTCATAAATATAAGTAGACTTGTTTTCTTTTGGCTATTGAATGTAATTAATTTTCATTATAAATATGAATTGCAAGCGGGAAACAGTTAGGGGCACTGTCCATTGACACTATCCATTTCTGTATATCTGCTATTTCGTTCTAACTGCTAATGACATGGTTTCTCTGAGATGTAGTTATTTCTGAGTATTGTAGTTAGTTGGCTGGATCTTAGTTGAACCTATGTTTCTTACTGGTTGGCATTTATTCACTGAAGCATATCTGCCTGTAAAATGCAATTGTTGTATTTGAATATGTTCATGCATTAATTGAGATCTCATTAGCAAAACAATTCGTCTTTTTTAAATTTGATTGGATGGAGGATATAGTCATGAGCTGACATCAGATAGGGGACCACTGGAAAACCTGTGAGTACTGGACAGCTGTTTCATCTTAATCTGGGACTCTTCATCACCACGCACCCACCCACCACCGGGGCTCAAACCCAGGACCTTCTGGTTACAAGGCGAGCGGGCTCGTAGACTATTGAGCAACTGAGACCGGATCCAATGGCCAGTGCGTGAGTTCTAACTCCTGCCAATTCATGATATAGCGTGACCAATTCGTAATGTCTTCTTCGATGAGTTACTGCCTCATCTTCAACCTGTTGTACCCCACTGGTGACGGCTTCCCACTAGAACCCCAGGTCACTGCCTGTATAGAGCCAGTCACTAGTGAGCATCAGGTGAATTTTCAGGTACTGGTTTTGTAGGGATTTTTTGTTTGATTGGATGGAGGATTTCATCATGAGCTGACATCAGTTAGAGAACCACTGGAAAACCTGGCAGTACTGGACATTTAATCTGTGTATGTTTATGTGTGTATAATAATGCTGCTGATAGTAAAATGTTGTTCGTTTTTCGTGTTGTTAGCCGGGTGTATGGCTTCAGAGCTTTTAGCCGACTCAATGGTTACCCACAAGCTTCGATTTCCTCTTCACATGACCTCCATGTTACCGTTGGATGCCCAAATTCTCAGTTCCTCTTAGGCCTCCGCTCAAGCATCTGGCTCATGATGTCACTCACCAGTCTTCTCGATCCAGTTCATTTCCACTTTTTTTACGCATATCTGTTGGATAGTAGGTTTTTGGCTGGTTCTCTGCTGGAGTTCTTTGTTATTGCTCCTTGTGACCGGCTATCCGATCTTCATTACCTGGGTAGTGAAGGCATCTGTTTATAAGAGTATGCAGCTGGCTGTCTGAAGGGATTTCGCTGATGCGCGAACTCTTGTACAGTAAATGTGTGGGTTCAAAATTACAAATAGATTTGTAAAATTCAAATGCCTTATTCAATAAGCTGGGGATGCATATATATATATAATGTAGCCACGAGAATTTCATTTTACAGTTTAGGAACATCGACCTTTCACACTAACTATCATTCCCAGTAGAGTAAATTTTCCTAGTACATTGATTAAAATACGAATGAAAAAGCTCATTTTCACTCTCTTGATATGCCACGAGTAGATAACCAGGACACTATTTTTGTAATGCCTCCCCCCCTTCCCCCCTACACACAGACACACTTTATATTCATCTGCCTACTGGTAAACTTCCTTTCATATTCATGTAGTTTTACTGTGTGTCAGCACTGGAGTACTGGACAGCTTCTGTTTCATCCTAGTTTGGGAATCATCGGAAGTACGCACCCACTGCCAGGGTTCGAACCCAGGACCTTCCGGTTACGAGGCAAGCTGGCTCGTATACCATTCAGCCACTGGGACCCGATTCAATGTCTCGTGAATTCTAACTTCTATCAATTCGTGATTTAGTGTGATGAGTGTGCAGCTGTCTGTCTGAAGGGATTTTGGTGATGCGCGAACTCTCGTACAGTAAATGTGTGGGTTCAAAATTACAAATAGATTTGTAAAAATTGAACACCACAACTCGTAAAAACATAACTAATTCTTACAAACCAAACTATAGAAAATTAATCTGATGCTCTGTAGTGACTTCTTACAGAATGGAGTTTCCTGGAGCTCTAGCGAGAAGTCGTTGACCAGTGAGGTCGAATTAGATGTCACGTGTGTGGATGGATGTCCCACCAACGACAATGGTTGGGGTCGTGCTAAATCACGAATTGGTAGAAGTTAGAATTCACGAGACATTGAATCGGGTCCCAGTGGCTGAATGGTATACGAGCCAGTTTGCCTTGTAACCGGAAGGTTCTGGGTTCGAACGCTGGCAGTGGGTGCGTACTTCCGATGATTCTCAAAACTAGGATGAAACAGCAGCTGTCCAGTATCCTCTGATTTCTAATGGTTCTCTAACTGATATCAATCTGTGATCAGCTAGTGAAAACATAGCTAACTCTTACAAACCAAACTATAGAAAATATTAATCTGTCTGATAGAATTCAGTCTGCGTCAACATTGAGGACTAGATTCATTACATTATTTACTATCTAGTGTCCAATCAAAGTATCCATTACAGTCCTACAAGAGGTCGGTTGTGAGCTCGGATAGCTCAGTGGTAACGTTTCTGACCTCAGTAGCGGGCGAACAGGGGTCGAATAACAGAAGGGAGGGGCATGAGTCTCCTCACAGTTGCAGACACACCTCACTGATGACTGCTGACAACCAAAAAATCGATGTCCAATGTTTCGTGCTGGCTGCCTCCAACCCTCTGAAAACAGTTTTGATGGTATTGTGATGGTGAGCCACCTAGTATGATGGCTACATCATAGACTTGACTGATGGAATTTAGTTTGCACCATGCCTACGAACTTTAAGCGGGATATTAGTCACTATCTAGTGTCCGATCGGAGAGAAATTAATTTGTCTATAAAGGTTACTGAAATGACACTCATATTCTAATTTTATTCAGTTATTATTTCATGGAAGAACTTCTAGAAATAAATGGTGTTTAATTCTGTTGCCGTGTTTTTTCTACCTAGTGTTTTACTCATACGCATCACCTATTTCATATGCTATTTTTTCAATTGTAGTTATGCTTTACAGAAAATGTTTTACACTAATTCCAAAGGAAAAATTCAACTTTATTTCAAGGGCAATCGGGTCTCACTATCCAAAGGATAATCATCATTTCGAGTTGCATAATGTCAGCATCGATAACAACAACAACAACAAGATCAAAAAACGATTATATCAAACAATTACCTCTTCTCCTACTGAATTCCCTCTTCCTTCGCCTACAATTTCATCAACATGGTTAAGAAGTCAATACTTATCTGATATTGTCTTACAACAAGAGTTTTCTGATGTCTATACACAGAATACTTTGAAAAATTTACTTACATTATGTCAAGATGAATTTCGTCTAGGTCGTTGGCGTAAATCAAAGATATCCTCCATATCGGATGTTGAAATTAGTCATGATAAGAAATCCTATTCATCATCATTATTGGATAGTTTATTTTTAGATTTGTATAAAACAGAACTGGATATTGATCCTGTCATTGGAGTTCAAATGGTACGAAATGTTTGTAGAAATAAACTCGAACAAAGTAAGTCTTTATCCTTCTTCTTTTGACTACTGTGAATAAATAAACTCGATGTTGTTGGCTAGTTTGTTTTGAAGTAAAGATCATAGTAGAGTTTGGAAAGAAATACAGGTGGTGGTGCTGGTAGTATTCAATCTAGTTTTCTGTCGACTCAGCTGTAACAACAAGTTGAGATTTAAACCAACCTTGTCGACGAAACTGCAGATTTTGAATTTTCGCCTACAACTATAACGACAGAAGACAAGGGCCAGTCAACAGATCGTTTATTGAAGAAATCAAAAGATATTTATGTATTTTTACGTACAGTATTATTTTTTATTATTAGCAGGGAGACAGCGTCTTCTAATTGGTAGTTTTCGCGCTGAAAGTTATTCTGTCATCTTTTTGTGGCCGTTTCTTTGAAGGTCAGACCATATATCTGTGAATCATATCCGCCCACGTAAAGTCTGCTGTGATTGCTTGTTGAGTTAGTCTTTGTTCCTGCTTTTCTCTCATGACTAAGATTTGGGACGTAAACATTGACGTAAATTGTTGTCCACCGATTTTGGCTAGCAAACAGCTCTCACCACATACCAACTAGCTCCTGAATGGATCTCATCCATTTCTAATTATTAAGGTTGATCTTATCAACCTCTCGTTCTTATTTTCTTAAGTATTGAAGCATATGTGATATGAACATTGTGGGGATTATTTTAATGTTAAATCTCTCATTGGCTTATTCTAATCATAGTTTTAAGATAACTTGTAGAGTATTATCGGCGTTAAGGTAACTAGATTAAATTTGTGTCCCTTAGGAGGGGTCCATAAGTCCTATTTTTTATATGAAAACACAAACGGAAACAGCACTTTTTCTTCTAGCATCGTGAAGTTGGATCTGTTTGTGGGGAAGGGTATGGATCGCTTAATAGTTTTAGGGCGCACAAAATTTATGCTTGTGTATTTTGAAAAATTCAGAAGTCAATCTATTATTTTCTCGTCTCAGTGCATATGTCGTTCTGTAACAGGGCATAGACTTTCCATTAGTCGGTAGGCAGAGACACCAAATGTAACAACTGAAGACAAGGGCCAGGCAACATATCGTTTATTAAGGAAATCAATAGATATTTATAGATTTTCATGCACATTATTATAGATTATTGTAAGCAAACAAATACAGTCTTCTGATTGGTGGTTTCCCGCTGGAAGTTATTCTGTCATCTCTCAGTGGCCGTTTCTTTGAAGGTCAGACCATATATCTGTAAATTGCATCCGCCTACGCAGAGTCTGTTGTGATTGGTTGTTAAATCAGTCTTTGTTCTTATTTTTCCCACGACCAATATTAGGGACGTAAACATTGACGTAAATTACTGTCTATCAATTTTGGCTAACAGCCAGCTCTCACCACAGTACCAAGGTATAATTGAGAACAAAATGCAGATTTCATTGAATAGTGAAAACATTTCACTATAAGGATCAGGTATAATCGAACTGATCAAGTTTTTTTTGCATTACATCCTTAGCATTCTTTTAAGATATCGTTCATGAAACCATACGGTGAGGGAATACATCAAGGTAACTAAATCGGCAAAGGAAAGTGTCGTAGACTATTTTTCATTAGGGGAGATGATGACTAAGAATTTGGTATTTGTTACATTTTCAAGTTTTTGTTCGCAGGTATTGGTCCCGAACTGACTGTATTTAGAGAACCACCGAAAACCAGGGAGTATTGGACGAACTGTTTCGTCCTTGTTTAGGGCTCCTCAGAAGGACGTGCCCACGACGCCATCGATGGGAATCGAATCCAGGGCTTCAGGTTACAAGGAAAGCTTGTATATTATTCGGCCACTGGGACGAAATTCGATGGCCAATTGATTCTAACTTCCGCCAGTTCACGATATATATATATATATATATATATATATATATATATATATGTAGTGAGATTGCTAGCTAATGTCATCAGTGAATGTTTGTTTTCACAAGTAACTTGGCGAGCAGCACTGATCACGACATCCTGAACGTCCTACGTTCGAAGCTAGGTAGGGTCATGGGCACGCACTGCTGGAGAGTCCCTGACATGGAAAAAATGGCTGCACACTACTTCCAGGTTTCTAGTGGTTCTCTTATTGAAGCCACTTCTTGTGCTATCTTGAAATCTGTTATATTTCCTGTTATCAGTATGGAATTGAGGTATTCCGATGAGACTAAACTGACAATACGAAGTTACCAATAAGAATTCTGTCTATAGTGTGGAGTTAGCCACTGCCACTTATTCGTAATTAGTATATTGGCGACATCTTCTGCAAGAATCTTGAATAGTGAACTGTGGGATTAAGTTGCATGCAGGAGAAATGAAGATAATTATGAAAACATAATTATAGAAAACATGAATCGAATACCAAAGAAGCAGAATACGAATAACTTTTGAAAATTAAAGTTACAATCTAATGTTTTTATATTTTTCTATCAAATACCGCTATGTTCTGCTGTTGCAATAGTTCATTTGTCAGCATGTTTTAAAAATATAGCAAGCTAATGGGGTAGACTACAGCAATCTTTATGTCGTGAGTCTCCAGTTTTTTTCATCCTTTGCATTCCGAATGAAACATATGATTTCAAGCTTTCAGATTTCAGTCGGTAACCTTATGCCTAGCGTTCCCTCATTTCCGGACTTACCAGAGGTTAGGTGAGGTTTCGGAGTAAATCAGCTGGCAACTGAACCTGGGTTGTGTACACGGTTGGCTGGCATTCTGTTCTGAACCACTGATATACAAGTCTCCAGATCTCGGCGCTGTGAATTATAAAATAAATGTTAACATCTTTCTAAATAACTGCTTTCTTTTTGCTTCTGTTATAGATTTCTGCATACACACGCAAAACTTTGATCATCTGCGTATTCGTTTGGACTTGCTTAATCCTGACTTATTACTTGTTAGACTTTATGATCCACTCACCAATATTGGTGTGAAACATGTTAACAAACTTATTGAACGCTGTCCAGAGTTACCGTTAGGCACTATGCCATGTATAACATCAAATCAAGATAACTCACTATCCTATAAAACTATTCTTCAAGAATCTCTTGAAGTATTAAGTCATTATCTGATACATAATGATGTCATAAGTGTTGTCCAACGTTTCCCCAGTAAGTGGTTTTACATTATTTCCAATAAATTGATTTTGATTGTCTAATTTTTATATTTCAGCATCCTTGTTTATGTTGTAATAGTGTTTTCATGAAGCCTTAACACTCGTATTCTAGAAAGTGATAGCCCACTTCTAGTGTATACCTCTGGGTGGTTAACTATGTTTGATAATTGTAAAAATTACACACAATTTTAACGCCAATTTTACATATGGTGGTTGTAGTTAGTTGAGTCAAGTAAGGCTAGTTAAATTGAAAAGTTAAGGCAGTGAAACTTCCTTATGATTTCTCCTATCGTATAACTTTTCATAACTAACTAACATTTCTAGTTGAAACATTTTGATTTCAATTTGTTTCCATGCTCATTATGTCCACACCTGCAATTCGTTCGATCCCTGCGTAACTATTGTTTCTAAGCCTCTTGTAATTCATATCAAGTTGAAAATTATTATCTCCTTGGTTACTATGTCGAATTAAAATAATAATTGTATCCATGTGAACTAATGTATATAAATGCGATTGTACAGCTGCTTTTGAGAATGAAATCACCGAAAAGATCGCCATCTTTGCTGAACTTCTTGTTCTTTTCCCTCTAATGTCCCGATGAGTAGTTTCCACTATTTACAATATTTCTTTTCTTGGTTTCAACTCCTCTCAGTGAACATATAAGGCTGGTTGTTATGTCCTCTGACATAAAAATACCACTGATTTGTAGGTTCGATATTACTGAAAAGCAATAGGTGACTTGACTGAATACTGGATGCTGATTACTAATCAGTTCAACCACTTTAGCCCACAAAAATGATGGCAGAAGACAGAATGGTCTGTACCTGTGAGAGTAATTCACTTCACTAGAAAAAAAAGTATGGTGCATGTATGCACTACAAGTCCTCAGAAAGCTAAGCCAACGAATAATAATCAGTTCAATCAGTTGCATAATATTGGAATTCATAGCTGTCTAACCATATTACAATAAATATTCTGCCTCTGTACAATCGTTTAAATTTGTCCATTCTAGTGTTAGCCGGTCTATGCCTGGTTTAGCAGTTCTTATCCCTGATGATTTTCATCAGCACTACAGGAAAATGTCTGAAAAATATATTTTATCTGCCAGCGTAAAGGAATATGCTAACCAATTTTGATATAACACAGACTTATATGTTTCTTGGAGGCTAATTTTGAAAGTATATTCTTAACAAATACATTATTGATCTGAGCCACTGGAAGGGAGATTTCAAATAATCTCTGTACTGGAACGTATCTGGTCGATCTTAATCATCCCGCTTCAACAGAATTTTCCCAGTTATGTACATGGTTAACGAGAACAGTTTATGCGTATTTAAGATTCAAAATATACCAAACTTTTTCTTACCTTTAAAGTTATTATCCACTAAGGATTTTAAAAATTTTAACGAGTATTTTTTTCTAAATCAAGGTATCAGGTCTTCTATTAAATGAGCTGACATTAGTTAGAGAACCATTGGAAAACCTGGGTTTTCCAATGGCTCTAATGGCGATTTAGCTAGTTTCCTTAAGCACCTGACTTTCAATCGTTGGATCCCGGGTTCGAATCCCGCTTAGTCTACTGCAGCCTGGACAATTAGGTTATACCATCATCCATCACTCTATAAGCATGACTCATTCCGTGGTACGCGAGAAATTTGGTCCTGGCAATTGAGTTTCAGTCATGACTAGGCAAAAGAAATAATATCTTTTGAAATGCCCGACTAATTAGTGCTTAATACTTATTAGGTGAAGTGGAGAAAAGACTGTTTGTTGGAGCTTGTTATAAGTTAGTCTAACAGAATTAATCTAGTCATCCGAAAAAGTCAACTTGACTGAAATAACCCGAAATTTTAACAACTTAGTCGAAACAATGTTGTTACATGGGGTTATGAACTACGGTTCTTGTACTAGAAACTTGTAAGAAGTATATGATTGTCGTTCATTGGTGTAGGTGTTCACCTTTTTCTCAGACGTTCTTATGTTCAAGGTCTTCAGCACCTATTGAAGTTGAAGTGCCCGAATAGTGTTACATACATGAATACTATAGGTATGGTTTATTGTCTGTCAGATAAACAGTAACGCATATTTCTGGTTAATACCTAGGACATTTAAACATTACATGATGTGAATCTTAGCTCTACTTATCAAAAAAATAAAATTGGATTCTGTAACTTATCTGTAAGTTCTACCGAAATTTGATGAATTCATTAAATCCTGCTTTATTAACCTTTATTACTTCTTTATCTGTAAGTATTATAGTTTACAGGCTCTAAGTATTTAAGTGCTGAAAACTTTCACTAATCAGTGTACATCATTTTGTACAGACAGTGGACCTTTCTAACGGTTTCTATGCTAGTGGATAAAGCCGTAAACCTTTCAATATGTGTTACATATGATTGCTTCTACAAGTAAGAGATATATTGTTTGATTGGATGGAGGATTTTATCATGAGCTGACATCAGTTAGACGACTACTGGAAAACCTGGGAGTACTAAACAGCTGTCTCGTCAGCCTAGTATGGGATTCTTCATCGGCCTGCGCCCACCGGGATTTAAACCGAGGACCTTCTGGTTACAAGGCGAGTGAGCTCGTGGACCATTGAGCCATTGGAACCCGATCCAATGGCCCATGAATTTTTTGTTTGAATATTGTTTTGTTGACGGCGGCTAACAGAGGAATCCAGGATATACATTCTGTCCTGTCTGAGACTCTTCATGTGGATTTGTCTGAGTGTTGGTGTTCCCACTGCCACTCGAATTGAACACCCATCGTTTCAAACTCCATAGCGCTATCCATTAGGCTATTGAGTCATGTGAATCATTTTGTATGCGACCAGTATCAGATATTAATTGTTCGCCTTATTTTATGTTTCTGTTGAAATTATTGTATAGTGGATTCCGCTGGTAGCCGCCATCAACCTGATAATATCATTTCAGTCTTCAGATATCGTTGAAGTGTCCATACCAAGGGAATCGACATGTCAACAGAGAGAGAGAGACAGAGCATTTTATCCAACATAATCAACCAGCGGAAAATGCAAATTGAGTTAAACCAGTGAGAGTAATGTTCCTCCTAATTTAATTCATTTGTTCACTTCGTAATTTTGGTTTTATTCTGTCACCATTTTCTCCATTTTTTTTCTCATCAATAAGGTGTCCTACTTCGTGGAAAGCTGGAGCTAATTGATTTATGTGAATTTTGTATACATGAAATGCGTTTAGAATCGTTTGATTATATACGTGCATTATCTTCACCGCATCATAAACACTCTTTACGTCATTCAACTGGACTTAGTATAAGTAAATGTCCTATTTGGGAATTACCGCTGGAACATGTTCGTGTTAGATTCACATTTTTACGCTTAGCAGGATGTTGGCCGTTAACAAGGTATACAGTTGGAAAATCTAGTAAGTGTATATTTAGACTGAAATGGATTATAACTATTCATTATTTGCTATCGTCTGTATTTGTCTGTCTTCATCTGTTTGTAACGTAACTACAAAAAGCTAAAAAATAACAACCGTCTCTGTATAACGCAATAAACTTCAACTTTTGTATATTTTCAAGTATTGGTTTTGTAGGGATTTTGTTTGATTGGATGGAGGATTTCATCATGAGGTGACATCAGATAGAGGACCACTGGAAAACCTGTGAGTACTGGACAGCTGTTTCATCTTAATCTGGGACTCTTCATCAGCACGCACCCACCCACCACCGGGGTTCAAACCCAGGACCTTCTGGTTACAAGGAGAGCGAGCTGTTAGACTACTGAGCCACCGAGACCTGATCCAATGACCAGTGCGTGAATTCTAACTTCTGCCAATTCACGACATAGCGCGACCATTTCGCAATGTCTTCTTTGATGAGTTTCTACCTCATCTTCAACCTGCTGTACGCTACTGATCATAGCTTCTTGAATCATCCTAGATCATAGTTTGTAGTGGATAGTTCGTGTAAAGAAAGAGTTGGATTTTATGATCGCATTTGCGTCCAATGTATTTTTTCAGTTGAAAGTAAAGACAGAAGTTTTACTGAATTCAGATCAGAAAAGTTGATTCAGAGAATATACTTTCAAAGGATTTGAAGATATCTGGAGATAAAGTGAATAATTACTTTGATTGAACACTGTGTAGTAGCAATTGTCATTGGCTGCAGACTTAATTCTGTCAGATAAGTTTGCAATCTGGCCAACATCTTAGGTGGCATGCCATCACGGTGCACTCAGTATTGTTTTCAGATGATTGGAGGCAGTCAGCAGGAGGCCTTGCGCCTAGGTTTTGTGCTTTTTATCACTTGTCATCCACCTACCATGATGGTCACATGCCAAACTTGACTGATAGAATTCAGTCTCTACCAAAAGAAGTGTCTAATCGAAGTGTCCGTTAAAGTCCCACAGGTGGTCAGTGATGAGCTCGAATAGCTGAGTGGTGACGTCTCTGACTGCAGCAGTGAGGGAATTGGAGGTTGAATATCGGAAAGGACATGAGTCTCCTCACAGCTGCAGATGCTCCTTACTAACGAGTGTCAAAAAGCACAAAACCTAGGTCTAAGGCTTCCTACTTATCAACTCCAACCATCTGACAACAATGTGACTAGTTAGTCTTAATTACATGACTATAGAGAAGCGGTAGGTTTTTGAATGCGTACTATTCATAGATTATTGTAGATGTGACGAAGATTCAAATTAATTTAATAATAAGTTTGCTCTATAAAAGTAGACGATATCAAAAGATTTTTCGATAATCAGTGCTATTATTCATGTACTCGTTTTAGGTGGAGCGACATATTATGCACTAACGAAGACAAGTGTAGACTTGAAAGGGGGAGGAGGAGTTAGTCGACAGAAATATAACATCACGTCGATATAGGTGACTGGAAAACACTTGTTGCGCATACGAAGCCACTAACATCCTTGACTTCAAATGTGAGACGGCCAGGTTGAGGAAAACAGTTAATCCGTGTGGAAATTCGAACTGACCTAATATTGTGTAAAGTCGTGCATCGAGCCTTCAGTCTTGCTACACTGAATGTTATCATACATTTCTGGGGATGAAGACAAAAAGCTAATGAACACTATATTGTCTGAAATGACTTGATATTAGCCCCAGCATTTCTGAGCAGTGCATTTTCTTAACAAACGTCATAGTTTCATTCGCAAACTGCAAATAAAAATTTGGAAGTTCTAGGATCAGTTTTGACTAGACCGACACAAGATTCCTAATTATTATCACAAGGTGCGTCGGTGGCACAGTGGTTAGGACTCTCGCCGACCATGCACATGGTCCGGGGTTCGAGCCCTTGCCGACGCACACCTGATATCTATGGTCGGCCTGCGAAATTTGGGCTACCGATATCCACGCTGAAAATTCCATACTTGTACCAAGAATACGGTGTGGAATCAAGCTGTAATCAAAAATAAAATAAAAAATAAATAAATAAGGTGGATTTGGTTACGAAATGACATCAGTTAGTTAATCATTGACAATCAGGAGACACTAAACAGCTATATCGATCTACTTCTTGACTATTAAACACTACGGATCCACGACTCCACCATGGATTTAACCGAAAACCATCAGATAATGAGACGAGTATGTTTAGCATTCAACCACCAGGTTCGAAGTCCAATGGAATCTAATTCTCAATCTTCAAATTGCATAGTTCGAACTAAAATTTTGGCATAGTTTCTTTTGGAAATCGAAATTATTTAGATCACAGTATATATATATATATATATATATATATATATATATATATATATATATATATAATATTCTCTAACCAATCACTGAGCGTGGGATTTCGGTTTACATTAAACCACATGAAATAATATGTTCAAATACATGTATAGTATTCTTTTGCTAATGCAGTATTGAACTGTGGGAATATGTGAGAATAATGTTCCATTGGAACACATTGTCTGTATCACACCACCACAACACGGCATATAATGTGCTCAGTGCTATAAATAGCAACTGAGAAAGCAAAGCATCGATAGATGATGGCGTATATATTACTGATTGATTGGTTGATATTCTAAAAACAAAAGATAAGGGCCAGACAGCAGACCATTTATTAAAGAAAATCAACATATATTTATAGATTTTAATGTACATATTATGGATTGTTTAAGCAGACAAACACAGTCTTCTGATTGGTTGTTTCTCACAGAAAGTTAACCTTCCATCTCTTTGTGGCTGTTTCTTGAATGTCAAATCATCTATATGTTAACTGTATCCGCCTATGCGAAGCTTTTGTTCTCATTTTTCTCACGACCAATATTGGGGACATAAACATTGACGTAAATTACTGTCTAGCAATTTTGACTAACAGCCAGCTCTCACCACAATATTATCGAAACGGCGGTTCGATGTTTAGACCATTTTTGATCTGGCTGACTAGCAAGCACTGCTGCTGGTTGATATGATTATTCAACTACTGAGTCAATAGTATGTTACCATCTTGGAGCCTACCGATGAAAATACCCTAAAAAGTCCAGTCATATGTATAAGTAAAGGCTTGAATTAATGTTACTCAAGTGGATACGATTTTCATGTTGTTTGTGTTGCCTCCTCATTGTGAACTCAGCTCTAAAAGTGCTGTCTAAAAAGATGATGAGTGTTGGAAGTGAACCTTCCATCTCACAAAACACAACAACATCAAAATGATTAAGAGCTTTCGATTTTATATTCTTCTGAGTTATTCACGCTAACTGATTGATAGCAATCTTGAAGAGCTAAACACTTTGCATTTAAGTTTTCGTTGGAAGATACTTTGAAAGTTCTCATTTTGTATGATGGGAATCTATACTGTGATGCCTTGGGGCTGTTATTTTATCGTTTACCAATCAAGTTTGAATTCACTAGTCTATATTTTCCATACTGTAGCAGGTAGAACTGTAAGTCTAAATGTAGTACTGATAATTCATTGGCTGCTTCGTTGGTTTGGTCAACAGTACTGTAGTTTAGTGTTCAGCTTCGATGCTGATCATCCGTGTATCGTGAAGTTAAACACTAATCTTTACAATTCACTAAATAAATATCAACTTAATAGAGCAATAGACAGAACATTTCCTGCAGCTAAACTAGTACTAAACTTCTCAACTAAATCAGTACTCACACAGCAAGGCAAATATAAATTACCAAAGATGGCCTCATCAATGTGAATCTATGAATTCAACTGCTCATGTGGAGCTAGTTATATTGGCCGTACACAGAGGGCTTTATCCATGTGCGCGAATGAACATGTACCTGTATGGTTGAATAAAGGAGTAACCAAATGCATAAATAGTGCAGTCTTAGCCCACTTGGTAGATAGTGGACACCTGATGAAACTTGACCAAGTGTTCTTAGTTATTTACCGCGTTCCTAGTAATTTATCTAGAGGAGCTTGATTGCGTCTTCTATCGGTAGCTGAAGCGGTTGCAATTAATACCAGAAGACCATCTCTTTGCATACAGAAGGAGTATGTTCAGCCTCTATGTGTACCTCGGCCTTCTATAAAGCCAACAAATCCTCCATTGACACTGTAAATTCCTTTCACAATTTTCTTTTCTTTTCCTTCTTCTATTCCTCTGTTTCACTGCAAACGTTCATTTTTGACTTTTATGATTTCATAACCTTTCTTATGATTTTATTACCTTAGGTTTAAGTAGTGCTTTTCTAACTTGCTATCGTATTTACAAAATCCTTTTCATTCCACTTCATTATGTTCATTTTTATTATTTGACAATCATTCACCAATAGTGCTTTTAGTTTTACACCATATCATCGTTATTATTTTACAATCATTCTTATTGTTGTTATTTTCAACCTTGAACTTATGTCTAGACTGAGATGGTTAGGACATGTGTTACGTATGCCAAGCCATCGCCTCCCTCGACGAGCTATGTTAGCGGATATAGGGTCAGGCTGGAAAAAAGCTAGCGGCGGTCAAACAAAAACTTGGCATCAGTCAATGAAATCCACAACAGTTGGTCTAAGCCACGTAGAAAGGTGTAGACTTCCAGGCTGGGGTCCTCGGGACGGTAAAAATCAATGGTTGGAAACAATTGGTGACATGGCTCAAAACCGTTCTCAGTGGCGCAGATGCATCCACTCCCTGTGACTTATGATCTTCAATGAAACTGTTTTGTATTTCTTTATTACTCCTTTGTCTCACACCTCTGCTCACCGTTTCTATTATGCTTTTCTTGTACTTTCTTCTCTTGCTTCGCGTGCTACACGGAGTGTGGCGACTTGAACTTCCGCACATTTGTGCAAAGTTCTATGTCGAAAACAGACAGACAGACAGACAGACTAGACCGCCCCATTCGTTGGTTTATTTTCATATTGTCTCTCACACCCTGATTACACTCACTCTTGAAACTTGTATTTTCTGTTGACTATATTTATACATATACACACATCATTAAATTAAATTATTTCATCTCATTTTGCTCGATGCTCTCATCGACCATGCATATTAAAAAACTATCTGACTATTGTTTCATCCCATCTTATACTTGTTCCACAATACACTTTCTGATATGATCCTAATTTGCCTTTACTGGCTGGCTATTGTATGCTTAAATTGAATTAATGGATTTATAATTGTAGAGGCTGAAGAAGAATTTATTGAAACCACAATAGTTCGCTCTAAATATTTTGTTCTAAAAATATTTTATTATTGTTTTAGTTAATGTTGACCAACAACTGGCGACTTTATTGAAATCTTCTGATGGAGAATTCTCCTCCTGGTTGAATGTGAATCTGGGCAAAACAGCATCGAAGACCAAAGATAATAACAAGTATTCTAGTGATAAGTGTAACGCCTCAGAAAAATCAAATACACTAATCAGTGGTATAGTATTCACTAAATCGGATGTGAAATTTTTTGAAAAAGTATGCTCACGTATTTCAACTGTTTCTGAGGATGATGATATTGGTGGTATTGGTGATACAAGCATAATTGAAGATGTTGCTGATGATAATCATGATGATGACACTTCTAAACAGTCTTATCATGAAGATAATAACTAGTAAATGACTGGTATTCTTTTTCTACACTACTAGGATAATTCATCCATTGTATTCATGCATACATACATACATACATACACATAAAGTCATCTCATTTCAGTTATATTTTGTAAAGTTTTGGAGATTTGTTTCACTGAATTGATAATGCCTACTTCTTTTTTTAATGTATTAGAAAAATAAATATTTTTCTAGTGAAGCGTTATTCTCCTTCCTGTTAAAACATGTTACTCACTGATTGATATGTATCCGTTGCTAATGTTGATATATGGCTGGTTAATACACTTGTAATTTCCGGATCGAATTTCTTATCCAGTCTATTCATGAGCCTATTGGTCTAATCAATATTAGCAGCAACAGCAGCAACGCGATACGATAACACCAAAAGTGCGACTTAAGAAGACAAGAAGAGAAGACTGATCGTTGACATGGAGAACTTTAACTGTCTCGTATCAACAGCAAAAATGATTGACAGAGCTTGCTTGTATATATATATATATATATGACCTTGACAAGTACTAACGACATTGATAAATTAAAACAGACAACAACCAAAGGTCATAGGTAGGATGAGAGGAAACTAGGTCATAAATCAATAAGTTTGGTGAGAAAAATACAAACAGACATTTAAAAAGGATAAGATTGTATTTTGATAAAGTCACACAGCGGTGTTATGCAGTAATATTAACTGATGGCCACCTTTCGAGCACAAATTATTATATACTGCTCATAATCAGATAAAGTCACGGATTGATATCAGTTAGAGAACCATTGAAAACCAGCACTGGAGTACTGGACAGCTGCTGTTTCATCCTAGTTTGGGAATCATCGGAAGTACGCACTCACTGCCAGGGTTCGAACCCAGGACCTTCCGGTTACAAGGCAAACTGGCTCGTATACCATTCAGCCACTGGGACCCGATTTAATGGCTCGTAAATTCTAACTTCTACCAATTCGTGATTTAGCGCGACCCCAACCATTGTTCGAATCCCAGTTGGTACGTACTGCCGATAATTCCCAAACTAGGATGAAACAGCAGCTGTCCAGTACTCCAGTGCTGGTTTTCAATGGTTCTCTAACTGATATCAATCCGTGATCAACTCATAAAACATAACTAATCCTTACAAACCAAACTATAGAAAGATTGTTTGGACATTAGAAAAAAAATCAATATGGGATAATGTACATTCAGAAATAATATTAGGGTTATCAATCAAATACAATCAGAGGGGGAAATAAGATGTTTTTATAGTAAAAATAAGTAACTTGTTAGAATGTTATGATGTATGTAGATTGAAATGGAATTTTGTGATTATTTATTATCCTCTTGTGATTTGACTGGTGTCAATAATATCTTCTATATCTCTGGTATTTGCATTGAGTCATTTCTGTTGCATGTGTTAGGTGTAGACTCGATGAACCAGGCAGGATTCAGTAGTCAACCTCTATCGCTTTCCACCTACCTATATTACTTCCTAAAATTTTAATCCTCTCCCACCATGCTATTGTGTGATTGTGTGTTAATTCATGCAGTGCAACTGCTGAGCTCTTCTCTAAATTACTTATCTTCTCGGGGTCAACCATTCTTACCTTAGCTAAATTCTTATGTTCTGATAATCTGACTATCCCTGACCTACTAGTTTGACCTATGTAGTTGACCTCACAATCATTGCAGAGTATTTTGTAAATTATATTATTTTGTTTAATTGGGTCCTTCAGCCTACAGAACTTGTCTCTGAGTGAGTTTGTAGGTTTGAAGGCTACCCTAATTCCTGCTTTATTAAGAATCCTACGTAGGATCTCAGATATCCCCTCCTTTTATGATATCACTGTAAATGCCTTATATTCTCTCTTATGTATGTTATCATATATCTAACAAGTTACTTATTTTGACTATAAGAACATCCTATTTCCCCCTCTGATCGTATTTGATTGATAACACTAATATTATTTCTGAATGTACATTATCCCATATTGATTTTTATTCAAATGTCCAAACAATCTTTACCTCATGTGTATCAATGAAGGAAAACCTTGTGTGAGTGACTTGATCTGATTATGAGCAGTAAGTAATAATTTGTGCTCGAAATGTGGCCATCAGTTAATATTACTGCATAACACCGCTGTGTGACTTTATCAAATTAAAATCTTATCTATAATGGAGTTACACTCTACCACAGTACCCAAGTTTTATACTTAGGTAAAAAGGACATGTAGGAAATTATGCCTATATATCACTTGTAACCGCTTAAAAGAGTTGAGGATGTTGATAGTCCAGGTGGGTGTTTTTCTGACCTTGTTGGCTAAATTGCGAGTCATTTTTTTTGTATCCATCTGGATAACATTTCCGGAGAAACTTCAAAAAGATAAAACGGTGCGACAAAAAAAAAATGATGCATTTTAGTGTATCAGTTCGTAATTGTCAATAGCGGAGGAGAGATGCTGAATTTCAACACAATTAGCTGGTATAATTTTGAAATTCTAAGATCATTGTAATAGACAAAAGGAAAGAGTTATACGCGTTGGCCACCTTTGAATACTGCTAAATTTTGCCGAAAAAATTTTATAGGTTCAAGAACACTAAAGTTTGAAGACTTCATGAAAAGTCAAACCGAACTCACAGAAAATTAGGCTGGATTAGTGTGTTTTAGAGTTAAAACTGGATATCTGAGATAACACATTTCACCATTATTATTATTTCCTTTAGTTCCTAGAGGAACATAGGGCCTTGGCCGCACGTCTCCACTGCGTTCGGTTCTCGGCCAGCGTCTCCACCTGGCTCCACGTCTGCCCACACGCTTTCATCTAGTCTTCGCACAACCTCGTCCATGTCACCCTTGCACTGACGACCAACTCCCCGCTCCCCATTCGGGTTCTACTCGAGTGATGCCCTTACGTATGATGTCACTTGATGTTTTGTTTTCGCAGAGTATGGCCAATCCACCTCCATTTCTTCCTGCTTATTTGATGTGGAATTGTTTCCTGCTGGGTTAGTTCACTCCATGAGATCACTGTCGCTGATCTTTTCTGGCCGGCCATCTGATCTTGAGTAGTATTTAAGCGAAGACAGCTATTGATGGAGGTCTGTTGTTTTTTGTTCGAAGTGCCCTTCGTGACGCGCTAGCCAAGTCTCTGATCCATAAAGTAGCACTGACTTCACATTGGAGTTGAAAGTCCGGATCTTATTTTTCATTCTGAGTGCTGTTGACCTCCACACAGACTTGAGAGAAAGGAAGACTTTTCTTGCTTTCTCGATCCTCGCTTTGATATCCTCATCAGTTCCATCCGCCTGTAGTTGAAACGATGCTTCCTAGTTAGAATTAGGCAGGTAAAGGATGTTTCTTCTTTCAAATTTCTCCCATTTATGCTGATTGTTGTCTGGTGTTAGGCAGGAATCTTCATCAACTATCTCTGTTTTCTCTATGTTAACCTGAACTCCTTCCTATCTTCAATGCTTCTTCTGCCAGCTTGTTGCTTTTCACTTGCATATCTCCCGGTTTGTACGAAATCAGACATATATCATCGGCGAAGTCCGGATCCTCCAAGTTTTTTGTGTGGCTCCATAGGTTGTAATACTTCAAATAAAGCTTTTGAAAACTAACCAGCTATAACATTCTAGATTCAGGAGTTTAGGCTAAACAGGCGTGAAGGATCATACAAAAGGTAATCTTTTCCCTTAACTTCAAGGCAGTAATTAATAATTTATGCGTATAGTAAAATGTTAGAAGCTTTTCATAATTCCAGTAGTTAAGTATCATATATTATTAATGAGAGAGTTCTCATGTCTTTTGAAATATTGTATAAGAAAGAGTATAAGTATTCTAAATTGTCAGTTACCTTTAGTATTCATTTAGCCAATAAACAACCTCATATTATTTAAATACAGCTACGAATAGACACGTAATAGGTAGGTAGGTAGGTAGGTATAAGGATCAATATGTCCCAAGATTGAAAATAACCAGAAGTCCATATATGAGCAGTGAAGTAGATGCGGAATTAAGACTTAAATAAATAGGTGATTCCCTAAGCGATTATGTCTGAAATCAGGTTGACATTTCTAGAAGTAAAGCCTCAAAGCATAAAGAAATATGAAAGCCAATGAAATAAAGGCGTACAAAACTTCTCACAATTGCAGCTGCATAATATCTATTGATTTCTGGAATATAAAGATGAGAATATTAACACTTCAAAATCAAATAGTTACAAAAATAGGATTTGATTCACAATCTACACCATTCGAGGTGAAATTTTACCAAAATTTTCTTTGGAACCCGAAATTATTAAAACGTGATCTGCCTGATACCATAAATAACAGTCGAGAAAGCAAACTTAGGTGACTGACGCCAAATGATACTGATTGGTTGATATGAGTGGATGAATGACACTCACTTCAACTAATAGTGCTTGTTAGCCAGATAGAAGTGATCTAAACACTGGACACTCATTTCGCTCATTTAAGGGCTGCGGTGTACACGATTTGAATCAGCTTAGCGGGGTGAATCAATTAAAATCAACTGAACTTTTTGTTAGCCATCTAGGCACACTGGTAATACGTTAAATCGAATTATCAACTTGCAATTCACAAAGTTCCAGATGAAATTTCACCAGTTTCCTTTGCGCATACTTCCAAATAGCGAATTTGATTTAATGCAATACCAATTGGCCTAGAGCAGTTAACCAGACATCGAGTGATCCGGCTCTCTCAGCTAAGTCGCACCGGGTGTATCTCTGATAAGGTCAGCTACAACCGACCGGAACGGCAGTACAGTGACAAATCATTTTTATCTGGCCAGTAAATTGGTGCGAGTAGTGTCCAACTACTCATGTCACTTATTCAGTAGTAAATAGTGTCTTCCATACATAGATATATGTAAATTTCAATTTTTTTATGTAGACTGAATTTTGAGCATGAACGCCATTCTTATCTGTAAGTTAATGACATGCTCTTGAGCTGTTCATACCATCCGGACCTCACAGACATAACCTTCTCGCCGAATTTCTATAGCTTCTCATCTCTCTATATCCTTATAATGTCTTCAGTTGCCCAATGTTAGTGTAAACTAGAATTCTGGTTTAGAATCTCCCTGCTTTCTTACAGAATCAATCAGAGAATAAAAATGGAAGCTTTGGATATTCAAAAACCATTCTGAATGTTTGTCGATTTACTGGCTTCAAAAGGGAAAGAAAACACA